TGCCTTGTCCCTCGAATGCCAGGTTTGGGGGATAAAAGTTGTAGAAATATTCAGCTATAGCCATGTTGCTGAAAGCCTGTGGTTATGTAAATATCCTCAGAACCCTTTGTGCTGGAGTCATATGAAACCTCAATTGCTTTGGCGGCAGCCTTCCAAAACGGCTGCCGGGTGCGAATGGAGATGACCTTTCAACATCAAAGAGAAGGGCTGGGGAGGTGCCCAGATTCACAGCAGCCGTTTCCTGGGCTCCTCCGGGGGGTGGAAGGCCAGAGAGGGCACTCCATTTATGGTCCAGCTTTCTTTTTTTTTTAAAGAAGGAAAGAACAAAAATGAGTAAAGGAGAGAAAGAAAGAGGAAGAGAGAGAGGGAGGGTGAACAGAAATATTGCTTTATTCTGCAAAAAAAATGGGTATTAATAATGGCCAATCGATGTTTCATTTAAACCTATGAGTAGGTGTGATGTGGTATTGACAAGAATGTATATTTTGTGTATTTGAAGTGGAGAGCTCTATAAATATTTATTAAGTTTACTTGTTCCAGATCTGAGTTCGAGTCCTTGATATCCTTATTAGTTTTCTGTCTCATTGAATCTAAGTCTCTATGTATCTGGGTGTTAGGATCGTTAGCTCTTGTTGTTGCATTGATCCTTTTACCACTGTATCTTTGTTGCTTTAAAATCTATTTTATCCGATACGAGAATTGCAACTCCTGCTTTTTATTTATTTATTTATTTATTTATTTATTTATTTATTTATTTATTTTTGCTCTCCATTTGGTTGGTAAATCTTTCTCCATCCCTTTGTTTTGAGTCTTTGTGTATCCTTGCCTGTGAAACAGGTCTGGATGTAACATGCCGTTGGGTTTTGGCTGTGTCTTTTGATTGGGGGATTTAGTCGATTTAAATTTAGGGTTACTGCCATTTGATGTTAACTGGCTATTTTATCCATTCGTTGGTGTAAATTCTTCTTTATGTTGGTGCTCTTTACTTTTTGGTGTATTTTTAGAAAGGCTAATACTGGTTGTTTCTTTCTATGTGTAATGCTTCTTTCAGAAGCTCTTGTAAAGCAGGCCTGGTGGTAATAAAATCTCTGAGTACTTGCTTGTTCATAAAAGATTTTATTTTTCCTTCAGTTGTGAAGCTTAGTTTGGCTGGATATGAAATTCTGGGCTGAAGATTCTGTTCTTTGAGGATGTTGAATATTGGCCCCCACTCTCTTCTGGCTTGTAGGGTTTCTGCTGAGAGAGCTGCTGTAAGTCTGATAGGCTTCCCTTTGTGGGTAACCTGACCTTTCTCTCTGGCTGCCCTTTGTATTTTCTCCTTCGTTTCAACCCTGGTGAATCTAATGATTATGTGCCTTGGGGTTGCTCTTCTTGAGGAATATCTTTGTGGTGTTCTCTATATTACCTTGGGTTGAATATTGTCCTGCTTTGCTAGTTTAGGAAAATTTTCCTGAATAATTTCCTGAAGGGTATTTTCCAACTTGGATTCATTCTCTCCATCGCATTCAGGTACACCTATCAAACGTAAATTTGGTCTTTTCACATAGTCCCACATTTCTTGGAGACTTTGCTCATTCCTTTTTATCCTTTTTTCTCTAATCTTGTCTTCTTGTTTTATTTCATTAAGTTGGACCTTGGCCTCTGTTATCCTTTCTTCTGCTTGAACAATTCGAGTGTTTAAACCTGTGCATACTTCTCAGAGTTCCTGTATTGTATTCTTCAGTTGCATTAATTCACTCATACTCCTCTCTAAGTTGTCTATTCTCAATAGGATTTCGTCAAACCTTTTTCAAAATTCTTAGTTTCTTTACGTTGGGCTACAACGTGTTCTTTTAACTCACAGAAGTTTCTTATTATCCATTCCCTGAAGAGTGATTCTGTTATTGGTATGCGCTCGTTCTCTGTCAAGCCTTGTTCCATTGTTGATGTGGAACTGTGATCATCTTTAGAGGGAGAGGTGTTCTGATTTTGAGTATTCTCAGCCTTTTTACGCTGGTTTCTTCCCATCATTGTAAATTTATCCTCCTGTCGCCTTTGAAATGACCAACTTTCAGATTAGGTCTCTTGGGTGGACGTCCAAGTTGTTAGTTCCCAGGGCCAGAATGGCAGCGTTAAGACTGATGGTGCTTTTCTGCCCAGGATTCTCCTGTCTGGCTTCCTTTTTGTGTCCGTAATGGGCGACTCTGCCTTCCCCGGGCTCCAAACCTCAGTCAGAAGGGGAGCTGGCCCTGTTTACTCTGCTCCGAGAGCTGCCGCGCCGAGGTGCCGGTGAAACCGCTGCGCTGGCCACAAGAGTCGCGCTGGCGACCCGTGGGGGTCCTCCACTGGGGATCTTCTGCTCCGTGAGCGACCAGACTTTGTCTGAAAGTATGGCGTCCTCTTGTTCTCTGCGCTTTGACTGAGAGCTGCAATCCCGAGCTGTTATCGATCGGCCATCTTGCATAGTTCTCCCTATGGTCCAGCTTTACAGCAACCCTAGGACACAGGCCTTGTCATGCCAACTCAATAACTGATAGCCAGGGAGTGTAAATGATGTCACCAAGGTCAGAAGCCACGGAGAGGCACCAAGATCTCAATGCAGGCCTGTTTGCAGCCGAAGCCTGTGTCTCTAACCAGGATGTGGGGCCCCCCACTCATTATATAAGAAAACTAGAAAACCTTTTCTGCTTATTTATGAACAAAACGGAGCATTTCTACTCAGCTATGTTGTCCACAGGTGGTTCCTCCCCAGAAATATTAAATCACAAAGGATATAAAAATTCTGTTTTAAGCAGTGGCCTGCAGAATTTCTTTTTCCTTTCTTCTGTGCAAGGTTAAGGTTAGAAACTTCACTTCATCCCTGCACATGATTCTCCCTCAGCAGAGGAGTCTCCTATGTTCCTGCCCTGTCTGTGGCTTTCTTCACTGAGAGGTGAATTGAAGCAGCGACACGTAGGCCCTTTGGGTATGGCCAAATTGGTTCCGTGAGAGGCAGCAGGGAAAGGTGAGCAGAAGCTCCTGACTTCTGAAGGTGCCAAGGAGAAGTGTCCAACAAGGCAGCAGGTCAATGGGGAAAGGCCAAGGATGCCAGCTTGATACAGAGAGGAAGGGCTGCAGACACCTGCCCTGGTTCTCACAGTCACACTCACAACCTGTCATGGTGGAGAATTTAAAACACAAGCAGGAGCCGCCAGGGGCCCCTGAGCAGTTGGGGAGCAAATGAAAGTACTCGCTTCTTGAGATGCCAGGAGGCCAGCGTGGCACCTCCAGGGAGGACCAGCTCTGCCGAGGGAGCTGCCAGGCAGATGATGACCACATTGTAAAGTAGAGCCCTTGGCTAGTTTTTTTGGGCCAGTGTTTAAATACAGCAGAATAGCCCAGTGATGATGACAGAGCCATGTGACTGTGGGGCAGCTGTGTCCCATGTGCCATGCCAGGACTCAGTGACGTGGCCACGTGCTGCCAGCTATAAATCAAGGTGTCCAGCCCTGAGTCAAAATCCCTGGCCTTTTGAAGGTGGCCAGCCTTATTGGCCACTCCCTCTTGCAGAGGGGGACAGGACTTCTGGCCACTGCCTGCCTGGTGACTGGGGTGGCAACCTGCCCAGCGTTCTGTGCCCTGAGCTGGAGCCAGCTTTGTGCACTGCCCTCCAGACCCCTGGCCTCTCTCAGGTTCCAGCTCACAAGGATGTCCCTCTGTTCTCATAGGTACTGAATTGTTGGACACTCGATCCCCCTAAGGGATACCCCTCTGACCACAAGAACCTCACTTTCCACATCACTCACATTTGATGGGACAGCTCCTCTGAGCCTTGAGTAGTGCAGAATGATGACTACAGAGACCCCCGAGAAGAGAGGCATGGGAATGACAGAGGCCACCCGGGAGGGGACGCACAGTCACAGAGCACGTTCTCTCTTCCTCAGTTTCCCCCACAACAAGATGGTCCCCCACACCATGTGGGCTGTCCTGGAAGTGTTGTTCCTCTTCCCAAGGAATGCGCTGGGGAAGAGCCCACTCAGGCCCCTCTGCCTCCAGACAGAGTAGCTCTCCTCTCTGCCCAGGGTTTGTTTCACAAGGGCCATCCTAAGCTCTGTGTGAATGGCCTGGTGTTCAGCACCACAGGTCCCAGTGGCTTCTGTAACTGGGCAGCAGCCCTGTCTGCGGAGGGGGAGACTGAGGCAGGGCAGCAATAACATGCTCACACAGCCAGTCACCAAGCTCCAGGGCCATGGCTTCCCTTCCCCCTGCCTCCCAGACAGGCCTGCAACCCTGGCCCTGCTTGCTGGTTCTGGGGACAGTGGTAGGCTGGTGGTCCCCTGCCCCAGGGGTAGTTTTAAATTGAGGTATGATTTACAGTTAGTAAAGTATACAGATCTTCAGTGCCCAGCTTGGCAGATCCGTACATGCACATGGGGGCAGCCATCCCTTAGGGTAGGGGGTGGACCCTTTCTAGCTCCCAGAAGGTTTCCCGTGCCCTGTCCCCCATTGTCCTGCTTTAGGTAACCCTGACTCTCCCCTCTAACAGCATGGATTCGCTTGCCTTCCTCGAGCTTCCTGGAAGTGGAATGCCGCCATCTGCCCTCCTTCGCGAATGGCTGCTTTTCTTCGTGTTATATGTGTGAGATTCATCCTCACTGTTGCCTGGACCTGTAACTAGTTCTTTTTCATTGTCTGTTGTGTGAATCTAGGGAAATGTACCCCTTCTTCCTTGTGGACAGTTGGGCGAGGAGGACAGGCGGTCGGCTTCTAGCTTGGAACTGTAGGACTAAAACCGCTCCCGAGGCTCGTCTCCCGGTGGCATATGAAGATGGCTCATGTCCGTTGTGTGCTCAAGAGTAGGGTTGCTGCAGAGTCCTGCTGGAACGTCACCAGCAGGTGTCCTTGTATCTCTCTTAGAATGCAGGGTGCAGGTGTCCCAGGCAAGCTGCCGGGAGAGGAGGGGTGGCAGTTCCTCTCTGTGTCCCATGCTGAGCTTCACTGAGGCCACTGCCTCTCCTTGCGTCTGTCCTCCCATCTCCTAGGGTGAGCTCCACAAGTATTGCACTGCTTGGGATGAAGCGGATGTCAGATTCAGCAGCCAGAGCAGCAAGGCTGGGTCCATTGCCCCCCACCAGCTCCCTGATAATGAGACCGACTGTGGCTGGGCACCGTTTGGTAAGTTCATTGTCAGTCCGCCCAGAAGTGGCCGTCCTTCCAAGATGCTTCCAGCCTTGCTGTTAATAATTTTAGTGGAAGTAATGCTATTCCCAGATGTAACTGCATTTCCATGACAGCCCTCTCCTACCTAAGAGCAGTTACATCTTCACCGCTGTGTTCCCAGTGCCTGTGCACGGAGCTGTCCCTTCTGAAAGAAGGTTCTCTTAACGGGGAATGTGTTGAAGATCATTTGGGTTTTGTATTTGTCAGACTTGGAAGGTTAGACTTGCAGGGCATAGATCTGTGGGTGGGAAGGAGAGAGAGACACCAGGGCCTGGTGTGGTTGCTGGCCTGGGCAGGCGTGCCACAGAAGAGCCAGTGGACATGGAAACCAAAGGCATCAGTCAGATGTCCAGCCACCGTGCACAGTGAGGTTTACCGCATCTGAATTATGTCTGTATTATATTTAGTGATTATTTGAAACTGCGGTGACTTCATTTTCCTTCGCAAGAAACTGAACGGAGAATGCACCGCCTCGTTTTCTATGTGGAAAACCACGCTTTTCACTTTCTAAGCACACCCAGATTTAGAGAACAGATGCTCTGTGTTTTACAGCCATGCACTAGAACATAAACTAAACAGTCCTGAGCTTTTCCTGTTGATTTGCAAATTCACGTAGATAAGAACAACTATCAGCAGCTGCTCGGGGCCCTGGACTACTCCTTCCTGTGCGCCTATGCCGTGGGGATGTACCTCAGGTAGGTCTGCTCCAGTTCTCCAGACGCTTCCTGGTTATCTGGTCCCCACCATGCAGAGAGGATGTCGTTACCCCGAAGTGCACGGGAGCGCGGGAGTGGGGCCCTGCCTTGCCAGTGCCTTCCCTGCTGTTCTCTTCCCAAAGATGAGGCCGGGCTTAGGAGGAGGCAGGTGCATGTGCTGTGCCCACACACAGGACGTCAAAGTGGAGGATCTGCACGTCCCAGGCATCCCGCAGATTGGACACAGGTTGCCCTCAGCTTTCCTGGCCCTGGGGTTTAGGACCCACCATGAATCCTGACCATCCTGAGACATGGTCATTCAGGAACAGGGAACTAGTTTCCCGTTCAGCAGAGCCCGACCTCTCCTGTGGTTCAGGGGCTGCCATCTGTTTACATGCCCCTGATAACTAATTGCACCTGCCATTCGGAACAGTGGACACACTGTGTGCTGAACAGCTCCACCTGGATGCCCAGCTTGGCCCCAGAACTCTGAGCACAGCAGAAGCAGCCCCACATAGCAGGCGGGGAACTCCAGACAGCTCGGATTTGAATCCCAGCCCTACCACTTGCTAGGAAGTGGCCTTGGGCAAGCTACTATGACTCTTTGTGCCTCAGTTTCCCCTTTGCAACATGGGGGAAATAATAGTACTTACATCACAGGATTGGGGCGAAGATTGAGTCAATGTATGTAGAAGCTCAGAACGCTGACTGGCCTCTGCTGCCAGCCCAGCCTGTTCTTATCCCACTCATGAACTGACTAGGGCAGGTGGTGAATGTTATGTGGGTTGTAGGATGTGTGATTGGCTGATCTCAAACTGCTATTGTGTCAGTCCAGACGGGTTTTTTTTAAAGGCATTATAGGGATGTTCTAGCCCATTTTCTGTTGCTGTTAACACAATACCTGAGATGGAGTAATTTACAATGAAAAGAGGCATATTTAGCTCTTACCTAACTGGGAAGTTCAAGATTGGGCAGCTGTAGCTGGCAAGAGCCTTGTGGCGCATTGTCCTGTGGTGGAGGGCGTCACCTGGCGGAGGCACCTGTGAGATGGGTGAGCGGTGAGCAGGTGCACGGAACACACAGCGCAGGGTGACCTTGCTTTATAGCAGCCCGCTCTCACCTCTTCTGACAGCTCGTCAGTCCTGAGAGGCAGCTGCTCACTCCTGCGCATGCATTCCTGCATCAAGGTGCGTCCCTCACGACCCAAATGTCCTTTAGAGCTCCCTGCACCTGTTATGTTGGGGATGAGGCCTCCACACGAGTTTTTATGGAGACCGACCATAGTCAGGCCACAGCCAGGGACTGGGGCATGCAGTCCCAGGAGGCTTTTGTTCAGAGACAGAGATCTTTAAGCCTGGTGAACCCCAGGATCCCCATAAAAGTTTAGCTGCTCCGTGAGAGCCACCCGGAGTGTGAGATCATCAAGACCTGGGCCCTCTGCCCCAGTCGGGGCCCTGATGAGTGGTTGGTGCCCAGGCAGGCAGTGTCTGCTGTTGGAGAGGAGTGCACAGCCCTCCCTCTATTGAACGTGTAGATTTGCCTCCTTCTGCAGAACTTGTCTGAGTGAACAAATGAATAAAGCCCAGAGTGTGTGGTGCGCAGCAGAACATGAGCCTAGCTGGAAAGGGTGTGGTGTGTACCTTGGGCTTCCTTAGGGCCTGGGTCTCAGCCAGGCTGCCAGACCTTCTCCATTTTGAGGTCAAATGTTTACAGTCCCCAGACTGCAGGCTTACTGAACGCAAACAATCTGTGGTATAAAAAGACCCAGAGTGGGAGTGTGTGCTTCTCAGTTACTAGAAAGCTATTTAAATATGGTTGTCAGCTGGGGGCAGTTTTGTCTCCTAGGGGACATTTGTGGGTGTCACAACCAGGAAAGGGATATTGCTGGCATCTAGTGGAAAGAAACCAGGGCATTGCTAAGCATCCTGCAGCACGCAGGATGGCCCCCACCACCACCGAATCATCGGACCCAAAATACCCAGTGCGGAGGTTCAGACAGCCTGCTTTACATGAATAAAGTGGCTTACCGCTGCTTACTTATCAGTAAAGATAATTCCTATGCAAGTCGCCAGTAAGGTTATTAAAACGAAATTCGGTCTAATGCGACATCTACGCGGTAAACTCCTGGTCAAGGGCACACGCTGCTTCGTTGAAGGGGCCTCTTTGTATGACAGTCCCTACCTGAGGTCTCAGCGATGAGTGGTGTTTTGCTCACTGTGTCAGATGAAATCATATACGAGAGGGTACAGTCACAGCCCAGGCACTGCCTGGCGGGTTCAGGCAGATGCAGCGTGGACTTGAATCCCTGTATGAGTCCCATATCATGTGAAATGGTGTTCGTTCAGTTAGAACTTTTCTTTAAAACTTTTCAGTAGAGACCAAAGTGGGCCCAAATCATACAGCAAGATTACAGAATACTTCTAAGCCTAGCCAACAGCACCAGCTCTCAGGAGCCCGTCTGGTTCTGCTGGCTGTGCTGAGACCTGGGCGGGTCAGCCGGCCTCTCAGTGACATATCTCCTGGTCTCAGCTGGCCTTTCAGGGACATCTCTCCTCTTCTCTGAAGTGGGTGGGTGATAACTCCTTAGCCCCAGAATGCCCTTGAGTCTGTGCGTGATGTGAGGTGTTAGCTGAAATTTTCACTGGTGAGGTGTTAGCTGAAATTTTCGCTGTAATTTTAAGTTACTTTCTTCTGCTTTAGTATTTAAAAGGTCACGTGCATGACCCTCGGTAGATCTTTCACTTGATGAATTCAGAGGAAAAGCTCTCGGGTGTAGGTTCTTGAAATGAAAGATGAGGATGTTGGCTCTGACTCCCAGAATGGTGTTCACGGCAGGCAGGTGTCATTGTGTGTTAGGTTTCCTGTTCATCTGACTCCTAGAATGACCCTACAGAAGAAAGTGAGACCCAGAGAGTCTCTGACGCTTGTGAAGCGCTCATGTTCATCCGTGACACTCTACAGCTTTTCTATTTACCTAACAAGTCACCACGTTGAGTTGGACTGTAGTAACATTTCCCATGAAACAGTAAGGGACGTTCTGGATGGCACTGGGTCGTGTGCTGTGATGGTGGGTAAAGACTGTTAAGTCTGTTTCCTACTGTGGAGCTGGAGACGTGCTTACCACCCCGCTCAAGGCTTTCAGTGAGGGGCAAATCATCATTTATCCCACCGGGTCCGCAGACAGCTCTAAAGGGTAAGACACCAAAGGGGGCAGCCGTTTGGCGAACTGTATTGCCGTTCAGAGGATCAGAGAGGAGCCACCCCAGCATTTCAGACCTTACCACAGAACCAACCTTCTGCCTTTAAATCAGGTCAGAGTGGTGTGGCGGGAGGTGGCAGTGGCAAGCAGCTGAAAGCCACTTCCCCACTGAGCCCAGCCAGCCAGGTGTGTTAGCACAGGTGACTTAATTACAGCTTGTGGGGCCGAGGGACTTGCTCGGGGTCATCTGTGACCTCGTTCCGCGACATACGGTATAGTTTGACGCTTGGCGTTTTAAGGCACTATATACGTTTACTGGATATGGTTTGTGTGGAAGCAGGATTAACTGGCACCACAAGTCCCTGGTTCCTTTCATTGGAAACTGTCATAGATAAGTCATAGGGTTTGAATTTTATTGTTTGACAGATAGGGACTTTTCCTAGAAATAAGCTCTTCTAAGATGTCGCCAGTCTGCTTTCTGGTGAGCAAACACTCCATAGGGAAATAGTTGTGTGAGACCTTCCTGGAAACTGTAAGGCTTGAGAGTTCTCCCAGCTCAGAGAACAGCATGAAAACATCCAGCAAGGAGCCAGCAGGTGGTTGACGTTCTGGCTGTGTTTGTCACCTCCTGTTTGTGTTTCCCTCTCCACCTCAGTGGCATAATTGGGGAACGCCTGCCGATCAGGTATTACCTAACGTTTGGGATGCTCGCCAGCGGAGCCTTCACCGCCCTGTTCGGCTTGGGGTATTTCTACAACATCCATAGTTTCGGATTCTACGTGGTAACTCAGGTAAGGTTTGGGTCCGTGGCTCACCATGTATGGGGGTTCCTTTGTGAATAGGGTGGGGTGTTTATGTCACATCACCGCTGTCAAGCTGTTGGGAGGAGCCAGAAGTGCATCCTGTCTGAAGTCAGGGTCAGCTGACATACAAAGTCCTTCCTTTCTCTTCTGCTTGGAAAGTCCAGCAGCCAGGAGGATGTTCTTAATTTCAGGAGTTGCCTCGTAAAGAATGCTGTCTGTCAGTGCCCCAGCAGGGAGGCTGACATGCAGCACCCTTAGGAGGCCTCCCATCTTCATGTGGATAAGTTTGAGATGCTTTGTCTTGAGAAATATTTGACCACTCAGGGGTTGGAGGGTGTGTCCTCCAGCCGAAGCCCCAGCTGGAGTCACCCTAAAAGCAGTGGCAGGGGAGTTCCCCCCAGAGAGTACCCCAAACCATCCCAAGACAGGGCCGGATGGGCTTCCCAAGGACAAAGCACTAAACTCTGGGTGATCGGATAAAGCATTTGTTAGCAGAACTGACGAAGTGGGGGCTGTGTAGTCTCGACACACAGCGGGGCAGGGCGCTCCACCTGGGTCTCTCCGCAGCCAGGGATTGGCATATGGAGTTGACGTGAGGGTTTAAGGAATTCGGCTCACGGCCAGGGCTCATTGCTTTCCATGTTTTGGGTCAACAACTGAAACACCTTTATCAGTGCCCGGAATGTTCAGGGATCAACTTGGGTTCGAGCCAGCAGAGGAAAACCTGCAGGTGGCTGGGTCACAGTGAGGAAACGGGGAGACTCTCCAGAGGGAGGCAAGGGTAGAAAGAAGGGCCGACTTGGGAGTCAGGCAGCAGGAGGGGTGGGAGGCAGTCAGTGGAGAAGACAGGAGAGATCACGAAGGTGCTAGAAGGCGAGAAGGCCTGAGGACAGCCCGCGCTGGCTTTGCCCTCCTGGCTGCTGGACTTTCCAAGCAGAAGAGAAAGGAAGGACTTTGTATGTCAGCTGACCCTGACTTCAGACAGGATGCCCTTCTGGCATCTCCTGGCTTCTGCCCTTCCCAGCAGTCCTGTGGATCAATATTTAGCAGCCGTGGAAAGTGATGGAAAATAATGATGCTCATTTTGGGCTTTGTGATGCTTCTGAGGCTCCCCGATAGCTCAGAGGAGTGTATAAAACCCTCAGGCAAATGGTATTTAATTTTGCTTCTCAAGATTTTACCATAACATTTGGAAAGGTTTGACTATTTTAATTACAAAAGCAATTCACACTTGTGTAGCAACATAGAAAACAAGAAGGGAGGAGAAAACCATTTTCCAGAGTCCCAGCATGTTTCTAGAGTGAAGGCCCAGCCTGGCTGGTCCAGAGGCAGCAACAGGTAGAGGAAGGCTCCCAGGCATCCTCGAGAGCAGCGGTTCCCAGCCTTTGTGGCCCCAGGGACCAGTTTTGTGGAAGACAATTTTCCACTGGGGACAAGGGAGAGAGGAGGATGGTTTGGGGATGAAACTGTTCCTCCTCAGGTCTTCAGGCATTAGATTCTCATAAGGAGCACACAACCTAGATTCCTCACATGCGCAGTTCTCAGTAGGGTTCGCGCTCCTATCAGAAGCTAATGCCACCGCTGATCTGAAGGGAGCCGGAGCTCAGGCAGTAACTCACTCGCCCACCACTCACCTCCTCCTGTGCAGCCTGGTTCCTAACAGGCTATGGATCAGGACTAGTCTGTGCTTGGGATTGGGGACCCTGCTCTGGAGAGCATGAGGTGGTTGGGTGTGCCAGGCTGTCCTGGGGTTGGGGACCCTGCTCTGGAGAGCTGGTTTAGTGCAGTGAGGTGGTCATGGGTGCCAGGCTGTCCTGGGGTTGGGGACCCTGCTCTGGAGAGCTGGCTTAGTGCAATGAGGTGGTCAGAGGCTCCAGGCTGGCCCTGGTTTCCTGCAGTCTCATAGAGCCACCCCGAGTCTCAGGGCACTCAAGCATCCTCAGTAATACATTCCCCAAGTTTCTTCATGAAACTCAGGTCGGGGTGTTCTTCAAAGGTGCAGAGATGCTTTTTCCAAGGCGCTAAGTCAAGGTTGTATTCATTTCAGAGAATGACTAACACCAGTGCCTTCTCCATGGTACTGTAAGGGCAAACATGGAATTTACAAGCCATATTTATTGTACAATTCTGAAAAGAGAAGAAAGGTTTTCCCTCTTTATAAAGTTTTTCTTTATTTATTTTTTGAGATAAAAATACTTACTGTGTTGTTCAGTTGGATTACAGTGGTGCAATCACAGCTCACAACAGCCCTGACCTCCTGGGCTCAAGCAGTCCTCCCACCTCAGCTTCCTGAGTGGCTTGGACCACGGGTGTGCGCCACCACACCTGGCTACTTTTTAATTCTTTTGTAGACAAGGGGGTCTCGCTATAATGTCCAGGCTGGTCTCAAATTCCTGCACTCAAGAGACCCTCCCACCCTGGCCTCCCAAAGTGCTAGCATTGCAGGCGTGAGCCACTGCGCCTAGCCTCTTTCTGGAACGTTCTTAGATTCGAAAGAGACTGGAAAGCTTGGCCCCACTCTGTTACGAGCTGTCCTCTCCTGGTGGTGGGGTTCTGGCTGGGTTTTCTTTTCTTGCTTTTCTCTACGTATTCTAAAGTTTGCACAATAGGCATGGATTACTTTTATTTTGAAAAATATATAGATGCCTGTGTATATGGTTTAAAAATACATGTGTAGTTTAAACTATATATAAATATGCAGTGACAGTCCGTCTCTGACAGTCCTTCTTTGTGTGAGCAGAGAAGCTCTGTGTGCCTCCCCGAGGCGCCCCCCCGACCCCCACTGTGGCACCCTCCCCAGCCCTCTTCCTGCGGTTCAGTCTCTCCTTTGCCTCTCCCACAGGTCATCAACGGACTGGTGCAGACCACCGGCTGGCCCAGCGTCGTCACCTGCCTTGGCAACTGGTTTGGAAAAGGAAGGTGAGAAAAAGCAGCCCTGTTTCCAACAGCATTTATTTTTTAAAAGATTCTGATGAAAACTAGACCATTTGACTTTTAGTTTTTCTGTAGACTGATTACAGCAAAAACATGTTACTGTCCTCTTTAAAATCAGATGGCTGAAACCTCCGGGGCTTGAATTTCTGAAATTCAGATGGCCTATGTCCCTCGAGATGGGAGCCCCGCCCTCCCATTGTGGGCCAGGTGGAGTCTGTGTCATGAGGCTCCTCTGCATCTGTCTTGCCTGGCCTCCCTCATGTTGTGGAAGAGGCAGAGTCCAGACCCTGCCCCAGGCCTTTTGAAGCCGAAGCTACGTGGTAACGTGGGAGTTTGAGAAGTCCTGACCTGGGTCACCCAGTGCACAGCACTGAAGTAGCAGAGCTGGGACCCAGGCTCTGGGGAGTCCAGATTTATTTGCAAATGGCTGTGTAAAATTCAGCACAGCCAGGCCAAAGCTTTAGTTATGGTGGAAAACAGCAAACCAGATGCAGAAGCTAAAACTGGAACACCGCATCATCAGGTCCTAAGTCCTAGATACTGTGCCTCGTTCACCGGGTGGGTGCCTCTGTGAGTTTTGTGCAAATGGCAGTTTATCAAGCGGCTATATGTATTAACAGATGGCAGAGTCACAAAGTGTAACTTTAGGCCTTCCAAGAATTTCAGGGAAAGGACTCTTTCTTCTTGAGAACAACAAAAGTCAGCTCTGAGAGAGAAGTGGCACGTGTGATGGCACAGCCTGGAAGCGAGTACATCCATCCAGCTCTCTTGGGGGCATCTCCAGTCCCGCGTCCCACAAAGGCAGTGTCTCCGTGGTCCTCGTGAATCTGTGCCCGACGTGGGGGGACTCATCCCAGCTTCTCACCCCATCTTCTGTCCCGTGTTCTGTTGTGTTGCAGGAGAGGTTTGATTATGGGGGTCTGGAACTCCCACACCTCCGTGGGCAACATCTTGGGCTCATTGATTGCTGGCTACTGGGTGTCCACGTGCTGGGGGCTGTCCTTCATCGTGCCCGGGGCCATCGTGGCAGCCATGGGGATAGTGTGCTTTCTCTTCCTCATTGAACGTAAGTGCACATGGCCTTGGAGACCACCCACCGAGGGAGGCCTTGGGAGTGAGCGTGAGAGTGGCATGGCCTAGCGCCCTGTTTGCCCGTGGCTTCCTCAGCACTCTTCTTGCCAGGGAGGCTTCCTGGTTTGCATGCGGACTTCCCCGGGAGCTGGTTCTCTCCCGGTCTTGCTGGATTTTCTACTCTTCCCTGATTTCTGGAGTGACCTGTGCGCACATTCCTTCCTCCCATCGCCCTCCTCTCCACTTGCCCCAGCATGCTGCGTTCGTGCCTGGGAATCTTACATCTTCCCACAGGGATGTTCGTCTCACACCCATCTCACCACCACAACCTGAATTGTACCAAGTCAGTTATTTGCCTTCTGATAAGATATGTCTTGGACAGTGTTATAAAAGACTTAGGCCGGGTGTGGTGGCTCAAGCCTGTAATCCTAGCACTTTAGGAGGCCAAGGCAGGTGAATCACCTGAGGTCCGGAGTTCAAGACCAGCCTGACCAACATGGAGAAACACTGTCTCTACTAAAAATATAAAAAATTAGCCAGGTGTGGTGGCACATGCCTGTAATTCCAGCTACTTAGGCAGCTGAGGCAGGAGAATCACTTGAACCTGGGAGGTGGAGGTTGCAGTGAGCCAAGATCACACCACTGCACTCCAGCCTGGGCAACAAGACCAAAACTTCATCTCCATAAATAAACAAATAAATAAAAGACTTACTTAATATCTTAATTGGGTAAAAAAGTATCTCTTGGAAAATCAAATCCTTTATTCCATTTCAGATTCAATGAAAAACTTCTGATTTAGTTGAATCTGAAATTAATTTCTGAAGTAGAGCCCGCAGGTGCTGAGAGGCTTCAGGACAGCTACAGCGAGGTTAGAGAGGCCCAGGTGGCCCCAGCAGTCACACGACAGGGGCTCGAATCCCACAGGCTGCTCTGATAAGTTGTCCTCAGCACTGAGTTCTTTGATTGAGTTTAAAGCACAGTGAAACCACAAGGCAACAGACAGCTCCCTGCAGCTCCCTCCCACTCCCTCCCAGGTGGGGACACTCAGAGCCAGCTCCCTCCAGCCACGCTGGGTGCTGCTTATCACTTCAGCTCTGCATGCAGAAGTTAATGCATAGTGCATTTAGGTGCTCACTTTTTTGTCTTGCCAAAGCTAACTTTTTAATTTTGAAGATGGCCATCATCTAGCCACCCTATGAGTTCTGAGACTCTCAGCCCAGTCTTCTGTGTTGGTGAAAATGGAAATAAACATTCAGATGAGGAATGCCCAAACACACCCATTGGTATAAGCAGAAAGTAGGGGTCCCAGGCTGCACTCAGCTCTCATTTCCCCTCTTCTGCCTTCAGCAGTACCCTGGACAGCCCTAGCAGGGACCTGGCCGGACGGGCAGGGCTCCGGCTCCCTTACCAGTAGGCCAACAGGTGGCTTTCAGCTCTGGCTGGTGTGCCACTGCAGTTCTGGGAAAGGCCGTTCCCACCACCTGTTTTCCTCTGCTCTGGTTCCTAGAACCTGGAGTTCCGTGCCCCTGCTCTCCAGGTATTTGAGACACTAGCCACCAGGAGAACAATGTGCCTCTCTGTTAGCACACAGGGGCCCCCAGGTGTCTCCTGCCTGAGGGTAGAGTCCCCAGGGCCTTTTATTCTCTTCCTCAGCTGGAAAGGGCTTGGCTCTGGAGAGGAGAGGACATGTGGGAGGGAAGGAGCTTGCTCAGTGGCCATGGTGGGTGAGCTCAGCAGCACGTCCAGGCATTCAGGGCCCCGTGTGGACGCTTGTCTCTGTAAGCAGAGAGAGCTTGGCTCTTGTGAATAAGCCTCCCTGATCCAATTTGGGCAGATAGCAATGATCCAGATGCCCCCTGTCCCTGGGTCCTCCTTGGCCACAGGCAGGCTCACCTGCAGGAGGGCTGTGTGCTTCGTCTGTAGCCAAACAGAACAGAACCCCCAGAGCCTCCTGCCCAGGGACTCGGCCCAACACTCTTTCCCCTTGTGCCCGGGAGTTGCACCATGTCTGAACGGTGAGACCCAGCTGAGACAGCAGTGGCTGGATGCAGAGTCTGAGAACAGGAGCTCTTTGCAGACAGGGAGGAAACATCCAGTGCTTCTTGGTTTGTTTCTGCCCCTCCTTGTCCCGAATCACTGCCTGGGCAGATGCTAAAGGCGTCAGATACACCATTCCTGTGACCAACGGGGGATGGAGCTTTCTCTGCTGCTCCTTCACCTCTATCTCCTGCCCAGAGTGGGGCCCAGAGGCCAGGGCGTCCCCTGCTCCCTTCTCAGGCCTCTCTGAGTCTACTTTGTGAAGCTGTTCTCAGACGGATCCCAGCCAAGGGACATGTGTGCTCAAGTCCCTCAAGGTGAAAGTCCAGCATATCAGGGGGACCCCCTTGCTCGCCTTAGGGTGGGGGGCATCACACTGAGTGGATACAGAGGGGATGAAATGGCTGATGTCCTTTAAACTGGTGACCGCACATCACAGGTGGACCATTGGGATTGCCCAGCATGCTGACCATGTGTCCCTTGTCAATGGCCTCGTCCTTGGGCTGTGCCCAGGAGAGGAGGGCAGCGCACCCCACAGCCAGCCTCGGAGCTCTCAGTGTAGGCCCACCTGGCCCTACAGCATAGGGGGGGTCTTGAGGCCAGCAGGAGTGTGCTCAGCAGCTGCTTGCCCCTCCACAGTGTCACCCTGGGTCGTGCAGGAATGGACTCGGCCGTGGGAAGCCTGCAGCCCTGTAGCTCAGTTTGGATTGCAAAGCAATAACCGGTTTCATCCAGGGTTATAAAAAGACCAAGATTCTGGGTAGTCAGAGGGGGCTACGGAAATAGATCCTGGAGAAACCAGGGCTGGTTTCCCATGGCTCCTCGAAGCCTGGGGCTGACCGTGGGTTCCCATGTTGCTTGGGGCAGGTCACTGGCATCTTTAAAGGACAGGCTGAAGCCTCACTCCTGGTTCTGTCCCTTTGCAAGTTTCCTCCCTTCCTTGCATTTACATAAAGATGTTTGTTCTGTACCAAGATGAATGTTTTATCTCCACTCATTTTTATTCCTGATGAATTTCACAACATGAAATACCTCATGTGCAAATGTACAAATACTTCAGTGCAGACATTATTCCCGCCTTTTCCCCCGATGTGCTTTTCCTGGCTTTGTTTTCCTTCTGGGGCCCGTCCTCTGAATGTGACTCACGGGCTGGTCTGCACAGCGTCCGCCTGCTCCGCTTGTTGTCGGCCACACTGGGAGCTGTTTTCCATATTTAAAGTAGTGTTCATATTCACCACGTTGGCATTGGCTGGCCCTGATCTGCCGTATGCCTTCCACACAGGTAGGCTGCCAGGCAGGGTGGCTGGTGACAGGGTGTGTGGGGTTACTGCTGGGCCAGCCATGCCGTGTCCTTGCCCTTACACGGCATGCTATGGCGATGGCTTTTTTCTGGAACGAATGCCGATTTAGTAAAGGTATAATGGCATTTTGTATGGTGTCACAGACACACACAGACAGTGAAAAGGTTACGAGCAGAGCAAAGCAAGTCAGCATCGCCATCGCAGCCCACAGCTGCCCAGTTTTGTTTCTTGTGGCAAGAGCAGCTCAGATCCACTCACCTATTGTCAGTTCTGCGTGCGGTCAGTTTCACTGCCGGTGCTCCCGTGTGCCCTGCCCTGGGGTCGTGTAGCTTACGTGGCGTTGCCGTGGTGCTGGACATGCTCAGCCCTGGACTCATGTTTGCTCTTTCAGATCCGAAGGACGTCAGGTGCTCCTCCACCCTGGTGACGGTAAGGACCGTTTCCTTGTCCCCTTCTAGAACAGTGGGCAGTTCGCAGAGTGTTCTGACCACTTCCCCAGCCTGCTCCTGCCCGTGCGGCGTCAGACAGAAACAGTGTGGACACAAGTCCCACCCTCAAAATACTGCCAGTTCTAGGAATAGATAATATCCTATTGTGGGTTTTGCTGATAACCTTATCAACAAAACCCAGAAGAGGTTTGATGCTGTCCAGATTAAGGACTTCATGCTAGGGGAGCCAAAGGCTGGGTCCCGGCCCCGCCTCCCCAGGAGTGGCGCCTCCCGGTGGCCCCAGGGCCTCAGCGCCACGTGGGAGCTGGCTGCCATCACTTAAGTTGGCAGCTGCACATCTCAGCTGGCCAGGAGGTTTGCCCAGCACGCCCTTTCTCTCTTCTGTACCCCTGCCCAGATCAGCCAGCACAGGCCCTGCAGGCAGGATTGCTGACCACAAGCACTACCCTAGCTGTGCCCACAGTGAACATCGGCCACTTTCCCACCTGCCTGAGGCCGGCCCTCCCACGGCATCAGTCCCCTCCCCTTGCATGGCTCAGGGCTTGGCTCCTGCAGACACACCCACCCCCAATACCATTCCTGGCACACTCTTATAGTATTGATTGCTGTCTTGGAAGAAAGTCCCTCTGGCCTTCATGCCTACTCCCAGCCGCCCCCCTTCCCACCTCCACTGGCGGGACTCCCCTCCTCTCTGCAGGCTTCTGCCACCCACAGGAACAGCCCATCCAGGTCCCAGCAATGTCACCTGGCCACATGGGGCAGTCAGCTCTCTGGCCTTACCCTGCTGGACCTGTCACTGCATCTGACATGATGCTTCCCTCCCTCTGGGAAAGGCTCCCCTCCCTGGGCTAACATGCTAGTCAGGCCTATGCTGAGTGTCAGAGCCCAGAGGTGGGAGTGCTCCCAGGCTGCTCCTCAGCCTCCTCTTTCCTTGTCCTCCCACTCACTGCAGGAGAGCGCACTGGGCCTTCCAGTGCCCCCGGGGGGATTGATGTTGAGTCCCCATGCTGGCCTCATAGGGACCCCTCCCCTGAGCTCTGCAATCCTAGATCTCACCACCACTCGACCTTCCCACCGATCTATCTGGGTGTCCTTCAGACTCAACACAACCAGAGGAGATCTCCTGATTTTGCCCCTAAACACGCCGATCCCCCAGCATCCCCATTTCAGTCAGGAAGCTGCTGTCCACCCTGTGGACAGGCCAGATCCCAGGAGCTAGCCCGACGCCCCCTCCCTTGAGCCCTGTGCCCTGTCCTTGGCCAGGTTTCGTGGGTTCTGCTCTGTGAGGGATGTGGAATGGAAACGCTCTCACCACCGTCAGCTTCCTCTGAGCCGCTGCTCAGCAGCTTCCTGGAACAGTCCCCTTTTGCTCCCCAGAACCTCTTCTCCACACCTCACTTGCAGACACGGTCTCAAAACAGAGCACATCAGCCCTTGCATGACACGGTCCAGTGGCGCCATGTCACCCCATGTGAAATCCTTGCTGGTGGATCTGGTCCATCTCTGTCACTCACAGAAGGGGGCGAGCCCCTCGCCCGGAGCACCACCCGGCTTCGTGCAGGAGAGGGAGCCAGAGTCCCCTTTCTGTCTGTCACTACATCGGGCTTCTGGGTGTGATTCATCAGAAAGGCGTTCTGGTACTTGATGACAAAAACAGAAAAAACAGAAACAAAAGGAAGTTTAGCAACCAGAGCCTTCAGGAAGGTCAGTTACCTCCTGCTGTTCGTAAAACTGCAGCTGGTACTTTTAAGTGTTTTAAAGAGCCATTTTCCTGTCGCGAGCATGAATTTCAGGTTCCAAGCGTGTAGAGTCGTGCCGTAAAGTAGCTTAGAGCTACCTGGACTGCCCAGCTTGAGAATGGGGAGAACCATGGCACACACCTTCCGCCCTGGGATGTCCTCCGCCCTCTAAGAAGAGCTTTTCCCCCCAGGGGCGGCCAGACCTGAGGATAGGAAGTTGGCACACGGGGAGTTTGGGGAGGGGCGGGTTTTCTCCTGCACAGGTTTTTTTTTTTTGAGACGGAGTTTCGCTCTTGTTACCCAGGCTGGAGTGCAATGGCGCGATCTCGGCTCACCGCAACCTCTGCCCCCTGGGTTCAGGCAATTCTCCTGCCTCAGCCTCCCGAGTAGCCGGGATTACAGGCACGTGCCACCGTGCCCAGCTAATTTTTTGTATTTTTAGTAGAGACGGGGTTTCACCATGTTGACCAGGATGGTCTCGATCTCTTGACCTCGTGATCCACCCGCCTCGGCCTCCCAAAGTGCTGGGATTACAGGCGTGAGCCACCGCGCCCGGCCCTCCTGCACAGCTTTTAGGAATATGAGAGTGCGTCTCAGCAAGAGGCGGTGCTTCTGCACCTTGTGTCCGTGAAGTCTATGTTTCATTCTCCTCGTTCAAATCCTCTCTGAGCAGTTCACTGAGATCCCCTGGTACTCAGGTGTCCCCGGCATGCCGTGGGGCAGGTGGTCCAGAGAAACAGCTTCTCGTCCTCTTCCCTCTCTATGTTGGCTTGTCACAGAGGGCAAGATGGCTGACACCTGGGGAGATTCCATCAGCTTCTGCAAACAGCCCCGAAGTTCTTTTTCCTGCAGGAATGTTACCCGCTCCGTGCAGGACACTGATGAGACCTTTGTCATGGGCCTTCCCGAGGGAGCTGAGGGTAGTTTGGCCCATGTCCCATCAGCTGCTGTCCTTGTGTAGTCTCTTCCCTTTATCACAAATGCGAGCTGTGGGGCAAAGCGAAATGCGTTTGTGAGATACTTCAGATGTGCTGGCTGGCTCTGGGAAGCTCCCACGTGGAAGTGCCATTTTTAGGACGAACTTCTAATTGTTCCCAATGTTTCAAAGCTTTTGTTACGGAGACTTTAAACATACAAAAAGGTAAAAATAACAGTATAATGAACCCCGATGTACCCAGCACCCAACTCTCCAACAGTTGGCCAGTCTGACTCTATCAGTGCCCCTTCCGATACTGTCCCTGCCCACCTCCTGCTGATGTATTTTGCAAGCAAATACCAATCATCTTAATATTTTGTCTCTGACGACTTCAGTGTTTGTTTCCAAAATATAAGGAAACTTGTGTGTGAAACAAAACGTAATATACCATTATCACACTTAAAACCCAATGGCAAAGAACAGAAAAACAGTAGAGAAAAGCAAACCAAAAGTTGGTGGCATTTCTGCCACCTTTGCCAAAATAACAGGATTACGAGGAAATACCATGAACAACTATATGCCAACAAATTAGAAAACTCAGAATAAATGGAAAAATTCACAGAAGGACAGAAACGACCAAAACTGACTTGAGAGAGAGGAAATCTTCATCGATCTAAAACAAGTAAAGAAATTGAACTGTTAATTTAAAAAATTCACTCAAAGAAAAGCCCAGGACCTGATGGCTTGGCTCGTAAACTCTGCCAAACATTGAAAGAAGAGTGAATACTAATTACTCACAAACCCTTCCAAAAAATAAAAGTGGGGGGAAACTTCCTAATTCATTCTATGAGGTATTATTGTAATAACAAAGGAAGCCAACCTAGGAAAGTTGTCCACCAGCGTCTTTTGTGAGTGTAGATGGGAAACGCAATGCCAGCAACCTGAACTTAGCCACCTACAAAAGGATTATGTACATGATCAGATGGGATTTCTCCCAGGAATACACAGTTGGCTTAACAGGTAATGTTACTGCAATATCCATATGAATGGATAAAGGACAAAAGCTAATGATCCTCTGGGCTGATGAGCAAACCCCACGCCTCCCTTAGAGAGGGCTTTTCTCCTTCAGAAGCGATGAGCTGGCTGAGGGCGGGCCGCTGTCCTCCCTGTGAAGGGAAACACTGGTGTGTGCCTTTTCATTTCAAAACCGTCGGAACAATCTCAAAGCCATTAAGAAAAGTTAAGTCGCCTTAATGGGTATTTTTACATTTGGTTACACCTCTGTCTTGGGTCTTTCTTCAAGAGAGGGTTTTATTTTCACATTCTGTTATCCGAGAGTCTGCAGTGTTGAGCTCAGCCATTATTCTGTTTAGATCAGTTCTCTTATGTTCTCTTGGTGGCCTTTTCGGGAAGTCAGTAAGGTCCTTGCTACGGTGAGGAAGGTTTAATTCTAGCTGTTGAGTCAGTGTTGCTCTCATGAAGCTTTTCTCCTCCCAGCACTCAAAAGCCTATGAGAATGGTACAAACAGACTGAGACTCCAGAAGCAAAGCTTGAAGAGCGAAAAGAACAGGCCCCTGGTAAGTCGCACATAACTTCCACTTCCTAGAACGTGGGAGCTGCAGGAAAAGTCCTTTGACCACGTCGGCTCTCCGTTCCTCTGCCTAAGTGACATGTGTCACAAACATCCAGATCTTTATTTTTTTTATTTATTTATTTATTTATTTATTGAGACGGAGTTTCGCTCTTGTTACCCAGGCTGGAGTGCAATGGCGCGATCTCGGCTCACCACAACCTCCATCTCCTGGGTTCAGGCAATTCTCCTGCCTCAGCCCCTCGAGTAGCTGGGATTACAGGCACGTGCCACCATGCCCAGCTAATTTTTGTGTTTTTAGTAGAGACAGGGTTTCACCATGTTGACCAGGATGGTCTCCATCTCTTGACCTCGTGATCCACCCGCCTCGGCCTCCCAAAGTGCTGGGATTACAGGCGTGAGCCACCACGTCCAGATCTTTAAAAAACTGGGTCTCATTGAATTGACGTCTCTGAGGATCCTTCTGATTGGCTGTGGCTCAAGAACTGTTGGGCCCACCAAACACGGCATGAGCACGGAGTGGGTGCTTGAAGGCTGAGTGCTACTCCACCGTGCACTGTGCACGCCAAGTGGGAGTCCGCAAATGTCTCTGGGATGGCCTTTCCTAAAGCGTAGCTGCAGACAGCATCAGGTTGCAGGTGAGCTTAGCATTTTTAGATAGAGCGGTCGTTATTCCACCCCTGCCCATGTGTGTCTGCCTGTATTTGGTGGGGGTGTGTGTTTTCGTAGAGGGAGCCCTTTTCTCTTGGAAAGTGTTAGCCATGAGTGGAGTACCCTGGCCACAGAATCCCCCAGACCCACGGGAGCTGCACGGATCCCATATGGGACTCTGAGGACACAGACTGGAAATAGCTTATTTGGAGGCAGAGGTGTCTCTTGGCCTCCAGCCTTGCGTCACGTCCCCCCAGTGTCTCCTTGTTTGCTGTATAAGGAGGAGGCAGCAGCGGCCCCCCTGCTGGTTTTGGAAAACCGGCTTCTTGGCCTCACACTTTCTCTCCCATCTCCAGGAGCAAACGACTGGGACTCCGTGGCTGCGAGCCCTGTCTGAGATGAGCAGCTGTGAGCATAGGGCCTGTTCTCAGCAAAAACAGCCTTCTGTCTGTCTAGGGGGCTCCTTGGGGCTTAGGTCAGGAGCAGAGGCTCTGTGTCTGTGGCTTTAAACCAGCCCAGCAAGTGGACCGTGGTGCACTTTACAAATCCTGGAAGGGCCGTGGGTGGCTCTTGGGCATCTGGGTCCACCTGAGTCCAGGTGGTCTTCCGTGTGGACCTGCAGTCCCTTCTCCCTGGGTCGGAGGGTGCACCTCTCCTGGCTAAGTGGACTCTTTCCACACGATGTTCCTCCAGCTGCATCTCACCCACTGCTTAGCCTGTTTGCCGCATAACAGCCTGTGAAGTCCTGTAGCCCTCAGCTTGCTATGAGTGGAACTCACCTGGGGCTGCCCCACAGACTGCTTCAGCAGGGCTTGGGGCCTTTGGGACTCCTCAAAGCCCCCCAGGAGATTCCAGTGTTTAGCCGCAGTAGAGCATGACTGACTTAGTTTCCTAAACTGGATGATCAGCACGATTTATGAGAGAAAAGTTGATTCCCAAACTCAGATCGCCATTCTTTGCTTCCACGTGCCGAGAATGAATTCTCATCGGGAGGATGTGAGGCATTTGCACTGGGGCCTGTCATCTTCACTCCAGAGCACCTGACAGTGGCTGCCTGTGAATATCGTCATCAGACGCCCGCTCTCCATGCTGGAGTCCTAGCCGTGAGCCGGGCTTCCTGGGGGACATGGCTGCTGGACTGCCTCCGAGGCCACACACTGGGTGCCCAGCACCCACACTGGGCTGCACACGGTACAGTCTGCCACCCGGTTTCCAAACTTCTGTTTCCCACTGGAAGAGAATTCTAAATATCAAGGGGCAGGGGAATGTGAAATACATTACCATTTCCTTTTTTTTTTTTTTTTTGAGGTAGAGTCATGCTTCGTTGCCCAGGCTGGAGTACAGTGGCACGATGTCGGCTCACTGCAACCTCCACCTCCCAGGTTCAAGCAATTCTCCTGTCTCAGTCTCCCAAGTAGCTGGAACTACAGGCACCTGCCACCACACCTGGCTAATTTTTGCATTTTTAGTAGAGATGGGGTTTCACCTTGTTGGCCAGGCTGGTCTCAAACTCCTGACCTCAGGTGATCCACTGCCTCAGCTTCCCAAGGTGCTAGGATTACAGGCATGAGCCACTGCGCCCAGCCTCTTTTTCTTTTTTTATTAAATGGAACTACATTTTTAGTCCAACTTATAACAGGTTATAGTGGGATAAACACAACAAAGCCTGTTTGATTTTGTGCAAGGTCTGAGATACATAGAAGTACTTCTTTGTAAGACCTTGAACTTCAAATATTTTTATTTTATTTTAATTCTTTTTTGAGACAGAGTCTTGCCCAATCGCCCAGGCTGAAATACAGCAGCTCAATCACCGTTCACCGCAGCCTCAGCCTCCTGGGTTCAAGTGACCCTCCTGCCTCAGCCTCCAGTGCAGCTACGACTACAAACACATACCACCACATTCAACTAGTTTTTCCCCCAGACATGCAGTCGCCCTGTGTGGCCCAGGCTAGGCTTATTTTTATGTTATCCTTGCTGTGACTTGGAAATCCCACTCGAGGTTGGGGATCAGTCTTCTTTGCTTCAATGAGTGTGCGCTTTGTCCTTTAGGAATGTCTAGAATGTTAGAATTCATAAATATCAGAATAGATGTATTTTAAAATAATGTTGCTGTAATTTTAAAATAAATTTTAAAATAATGTTTTATCTGGCCACTGTGAACTCCTAGAATATACAGGATCATGTAGAGAATTTCTTGTTAGCATTTCCATAAAAATTACACGTAATTCTAGCACTCAGTGGCAGCCATTGTTGGCTTAGATTTTAGCTTCTTTCTTTCTGGAAATAGACCCTGCAGTTGCCCAGTTATAGATGTAGATATTTAAACCTTCTTTGCGGTTATAATGGCGTGGTTTTGAATGATGTGTTATTTAATGTGTCATAAGCATTTTCATATGTCATTAAAATCTCCCAAACTATCCCAGCACTTTGGGAGGCCGAGGCGGGTGGATCACGAGGTCAAGAGATCGAGACCATCCTGGTCAACATGGTGAAACCCCGTCTCTACTAAAAATACAAACAAATTAGCTGGGCATGGTGGCGCGTGCCTGTAATTCCAGCTACTCGGGAGGCTGAGGCAGGAGAATTGCCTGAACCCAGGAGGCGGAGGTTGCGGTGAGCCGAGATCGCGCCATTGCACTCCAGCCTGGGTAACAAGAGCGAAACTCCGTCTGAAAAAAAAAATTCCCAAACATTTTTTATAACAAGGTAGGTCATTTATATGGATGTATTTTAATTTTCTAATTTTTCTCAATGATGATGTGACATCTATTTTGCTTTATACGTATTTTTTTCACTTTTCAACTTATTTTTTGCAAATAAGAGTCCTAGAATTTCTGGATCAGAAGATCTGTGTACCCAGCCGTTCATGAAAATGCATGAATGCTAATCATTCTAACGCAGTGGCCAGGTGGGAACGTCACCCTGATGTCTTCAAGGCAGTGGGAGAGAGCCGCCAGCACCCTCGCCGTTGGGAAGCCCGGACCCACTTCACCCAGACTGCCCGGCTGGTAACACCTTTCCTTTTGTTCCCAATGGGTTTGCCTCCAGGACCCAGAGATGCAGTGCTTGCTACTGTCAGACGGGAAGGGCTCCGTCCATCCAAACCACATGCTCATTCTCCCCGGGGACAGCGGGAGTGGCACCACTGCCATCAGCTTCACAGGCGCCCTGAAAATTCCAGTAAGTAAATGTGTGCAGGAGGAGTTTCAGAGGGGCTGCTGCTGTGCCGGCTGCGAGAAGTCTGGTCGGTTGATGATTAAAGAAGAAATCTCTGGCTGTACAACCCGGGGGTTGGGATCCGTAGCAGAAGCCAGACGCTGCACACTTCAGGAATGAGTATGTCCGCAGTGGTGTTTGGTTTGCCTCATACCATGTTGAAATTTTTTTGAAATTCGTTTTCTCCATTTAGAAATTTAGAAAGTTCATAGGCAAATGGGGCTCCCTGTCCTCACTTGAAAAACTGAAAGCCTGGCACCATGGGGCCTGCCCCTATGTGACAGAGGTTGGGGACCTGTAGCCCGGCCCCTCCCCGGTGCACTTGCCCTCCCACATGCCTTGAGCATGAGCCCAGGGGGATGTTGTCACTGAATGCCATACCATGGCCTTCACCAGCCCGGCTCAATTCTCTTTCCCTTTAAAGTGTCTTCAGCCTGGGCACAGTAGCTCATGCCTGTGATCCCAGCCCTTTGGGAGGCTGAGGCAGGCCGATCACCTGAGGTCAGGAGTTCAAAACCAGCCTGGCCAACATGGCAAAACCCCATCGCTACTAAATATACAAAAATTAGCCAGGCATGATGGTGTATACCTGTAATCCCAGCTACTCGAGAGGCTGAGGCAGGAGAATCACTTGAACCGGGGTGGCAGAGGTTGCGATGAGCCAGGCTCGTGCCACTACACTCCAGCCTGGGCGACAGAGTAATACTGCATCTCAAAAAAAAAGTGCCTTCTGTGCCACAACCCATGGTCTGATTGCCCGTGCGTGTGAGCAGAGGTTGCCAGGAGCTGGGGGCGGTGAGACCGAGGGAAGAATCAGCAAACAGGCGGGAGAAGCCCTGGGGTCCTCAGTATCCGGACCGCGCTGCTTTGGCTGCTGGTCCTTGGTATTGCTGGCCTTGCCTTCAGACTAGAAGGGTGCCACCCTGCCCCTGGGGGGTAATCAGTATTGGGAAGAGGTGACTTGGAGCAGATGAGCAGGAGGAGTGCCGTGGGGAGAGGTGACTTGGAGCAGATGAGCAGAAGGAGTGCCGTGGGGAGAGGTGACTTGGAGCAGATGAGCAGGAGTAGTGCCGTGGGGAGAGGTGACTTGGAGCAGATGAGCAGCAGGAGTGCCGTGGGAAGAGGTGACTTGGAGCAGATGAGCAGGAGGAGTGCCGTGGGAAGAGGTGACTTGGAGCAGATGAGCAGGAGGGTGCCGTGGGAAGAGGTGACTTGGAGCAGATGAGCAGGAGGAGTGCCGTGGGAAGAGGTGACTTGGAGCAGATGAGCAGGAGGGTGCCGTGGGAAGAGGTGACTTGGAGCAGATGAGCAGGAGGGTGCCGTGGGAAGAGGTGACTTGGAGCAGATGAGCAGGAGGAGTGCCGTGGGAAGAGGTGACTTGGAGCAGATGAGCAGGAGGGTGCCGTGGGAAGAGGTGGCTTGGAGCAGATGAGCAGGAGGGTGCCGTGGGAAGAGGTGGCTTGGAGCAGATGAGCAGGAGGGTGCCGTGGGAAGAGGTGACTTGGAGCAGATGAGCAGGAGGAGTGCCGTGGGGAGAGGTGACTTGGAGCAGATGAGCAGGAGGAGTGCCGTGGGGAGAGGTGACTTGGAGCAGATGAGCAGGAGGGTGCCGTGGAGAGATTTCTTGCTGCTTTCACTCTTCTTTCTATTACATTCATGGACTCCCTCAGCAGAGAATCTAAGGAGCCATGCGCAGGGTGTGGAGAAGCTGTGCTCTTCCGATGGGAACAGAGAGCTGAGAGCAGGGGCCTGTGCGGGGGAGATCAGACCCTGCTGAGTGGGCCAGGCGGGCTGTCCAGGGCGGGCTGTCCACACCGTGCCCTCCGGCACTCACAGCCAGAGCTCCAGGGAGCAGACACAGCTCTCGCTTGCTGACGTGACCTAGAGAAAGGCAGAGGGTCAGGGGCCCAGGCCCGAGGCCCCTCAGCAGGTCAGGGCTGGAAGCATAAGCGGTGCAACCCAGATTTCAAAATCACATCACAGAAATTAAAGACTGGGGAGAACCTCGGCTTCAGAACAGAATTTATTCCAGTGCCCAGGAGGAGCTGGGTCTGCAGAGTCAGGGCCTGGAGCCAGTGTTCAGCCGAAGGAGAACCCGCAACCCAGGCCTGGGCACCAGCTCCCGGGGAAAGGGCTGTGCATGCCGGCCTGTGGGAGCTGCTGGGTTCACGTAAAAAGATTTGTTCTTAATTGTGTCCTTCATAACAACTAGTACCCTTTTCTGCTGTTCCTTCCTCTGTAGCTACCCCCAAATACTTGTGCTAAAAGCAGAGTGCACACTTGTTATAGAAATACAGGTTTTTATACAGTGGCATTGTAGACAGTAGGAGCTTCAGAGGCCCGGCTCACGCCTCCCCTGCCACCACCAAGCTGGGTGTCCCAGGCAGGTGTGGTACCCTGAGCCTCCATGTCCTCGTCTGTCACATGGCTCCATCTCTGGTGTGATACGGTATGTTGCTCTGTGGATGAAGTGGGGTCAGTTAATGACGACTAAGCACAGTGCCAGGCCCGTGAAGGGCACACGGTGAATCACACGGACACAGCCTCATCAACTGTGAAGACGTCAGCTCTGAGCTGGCAAAGTGGAGAGGTGGGTTCTTCCAGTGCCATTTGACTGATTTTCATGTGCACAGGCAGCTGGGGAGTGGAGTGGGGGGTTCAGCGCCACAGCGTTACTAGATTTCTCACTCCGAATTTTCAGTGGCATCTGGAATTATCTCACGAGTGCCACTTCTTTCTAAAAGTTGACATAAAAGAAGACACAGGCACTTTACGGAACCCAGCGCCCGAATTCATCGCTCGCAGCACGGCCTCTTTCGCTTCTGGGTGTTCCCGGATGCAGACGGGCGTGTTGTGTTCGCAGGCGGGATTCGGTGGCCTGTGTGCCCGACAGGATGGTCGGAATTGTTTGATCTGTATGTCTCCCGGCGGCTTTATCATTACGATGGTTTCGGCTCCAAAGAAGAAGGAGCCATTTAATGCTCAGTCCGCTGCACCTGGTTATACGAGGACCCCTTTAATTGGCAAGTTTTCCGGGCAACGTAGTGTGAAAATCAAACCCTGCATGTTTTTATTGACTCTACTCTGATGTAAACACGCTGGGTTTCCATCCTAAAAGGTAGTCTCCATTTTGAAATTCAGAAATGTCATAGATAAATAGGGCTTCCTGTCTTCACGTGAAAGCAGAAAATCTGGCCACAGTGCGCCTGCCCCCGACGCCACAGCGGTGGAGGAGCTGCCGCCGTGCCCCCTCCCCGGTGCCCGGGCTGGGCTGAGCACTGTTCTGCGTCCTCACTACCCCACGCAGTGGTGCAGCACCCTCCCCATATGTGTCTGGAGGTGCCAAAGCCAGACCAGAGCCAGGCTGCTTCATGGGAGCGAAGTTGTATATAACTGTTGTATATTTACACGCACCTGCCGACTGCACGTTTGGAGGAGGCGCCCGACCGCTCTCTCTTTCAGGGCGTGGTCGAGTTCTCGCTGTGCCTGCTGTTCGCCAAGTTGGTCAGCTATACCTTCCTCTTCTGGCTGCCACTGTACATCACGAATGTGGGTGAGTACACGTTGCTAGAACACGTTAAGTTCTGCACAGCGACTGGGGCCGAACCGTCTTCTGTCTGCTGGTTTTAGCGTCTTAGAAATAAGGCCGCGAATGGTGCTTTGAGAGGTGCACTTTTCACACTTCTGAATCAAACAATATGATGAAACACGGGCAAAAAAGAATTGAGACGTGCAAGTTGTGTTGCCATAATGGTGGCCTTTGTGGGGCTTAAAGGTTGACATGTTGTATCCCAGCTGCGGCCACCAGTTCCGTGGGGTACTTCCTGTTCCGAGAGGTGAATATCCAGAAGGGAAGTTGAGGAAGCGGTGAGGGGACCGTCCCCCAGCCTAGCAGGGGCAGGGCCTGCCCTGTGCCAGTGAGTGGGGAGGCAGCCAGGCGTGCCCTCAGATCCTGAGGCTCCTTTCTTCCCCTGTGATTGCAAAAGGGGTAACATTTTCAAGACTTGTTCTGAGGCAGGTGCATTTAAATGTGGGCTACATTGAACTTTGACTCATAGCAGCCAGTGAGCAGAAGCAAGGCCTCTGGGGACCTGATAATCTCACCTGGGAAAGGCTTCTGGGAAATAGGGAGGTTCTAATTTTAGGGAGGTTCTAATCCTAGGGAGGGTCTAACCTTAGGGTCTAACCCTGAGCCTCCATGTCCTCGTTTGACTGATTTTCAACCTTAGAGAGGTTCCAACCTTAGGGAGGTTCTAACCTTAGGGAGGGTCTAACCTTAGGGAGGGTCTAACCTTAGGGAGGGTCTAACCTTTGGGAGGGGCTAGCTTTAGGGAGGGTCTAACCTTAGGGAGGGGCTAACCTTAGGGAGGGGCTAACCTTAGGGAGGTTCTAACCTTAGGGAGGGGCTAGCTTTAGGGAGGGTCTAACCTTAGGGAGGGGCTAACCTTAGGGAGGGTCTAACCTTAGGGAGGTTCTAACCTTAGGGAGGGGCTAGCTTTAGGGAGGGTCTAACCTTAGGGAGGGGCTAACCTTAGGGAGGGTCTAACCTTAGGGAGGTTCTAACCTTAGGGAGGGTCTAACCTTAGGGAGGGTCTAACCTTAGAGAGGGGCTAGCTTTAGGGAGGTTCTAACCTTAGGGAGGGTCTAACCTTAGGGAGGGGCTAGCTTTAGGGAGGGTCTAACCTTAGGGAGGGTCTAACCTTAGGGAGGGGCTAACCTTAGGGAGGGTCTAACCTTAGGGAGGGTCTAACCTTAGGGAGGTTCTAACCTTAGGGAGGGTCTAACCTTAGGGAGGGTCTAATCTTAGGAGGACTGACACTTTGCTTTATGTGGTGGTGCTTCCTCCCATGGTGGCTGCAGCTATGGATTATTAGAAAACATGCTGGTGAAATAGTAACATGCCCCACCATGTCATGTGTGACCACAGGACAGACAAGAGGGGATGAACAGTGCTTAAGGGAAGGGACCATTGAGTGGGGTAACCGGAACCCTGGCTGAGAGGAAGTGGGGATGGTTCAGGAGCACGTGGAGGGCTGTTAGCCCAGGGAGCAGGGAGAGCAAGAGGAAGGAGAAGACACCAGGCCATCAGGGAGGGGCAGGCTCTGGCAATGTCTCAAAGAGGGGGCCTTTGAGAGTGGGGGAGGCTGAGGGGTGCAGACCAGCTATTCTGGGAATGCAGATCTCACCAGAGGAGAATGCTGGGATCATGAGGCTGCAGGCTGAATACCTGGGAGGGAAGTTGAGGAGGCGGTGAGGGGACCGTCTCCCAGCCTAGCAGGGGCAGGGCCTGCCCTGTGCCAGTGAGTGGGGAGGCAGCCAGGCGTGCCCTCAGATCCTGAGGCTCCTTCCCTGCCTCGTGACCCCCAACTTACTTTGGCCTGTGAGCCGCACTCAGCCTTCTTCCTTTCTTCCCCCTGTGATTGCAAAAGGGGTAACATTTTTAAGACTTGAGTCTTGAATTGCTGGACTTTCAATCTGTTTGAAAAAAGCAAAGTTTCCTGTCCATGTCATTGAGGATTCAGAAAGGCTGGGTTTGACCAGCAGCTGGAGATGCTGCCCGGTCTCTTCTCACGCCACGGCCAGCTCAGTCCACCTAATAGCCCAGAACTTGTACAAAATCTAGTGGAGGGCGCCCTGAGCTGGTGCTGGGAGGCCTCTGTGTCCTCATCTGCAGGACAAGAGGGCTCTGGCCCCCTGCAGCTCTAAAGCCACGTGTGACAGGAGGCTGGAGCATCCAGGTGCCCTCCACACGCCTCTTAGGTCACGTGTTGATCTAACTTCATGGTAGAGGGGCCCTGGGGGGGCCTCTGAACCAAAGGTGGGATAATTCAGCTGAGCAGGGGAAACCCTCGGTGTTTGGTTAAAAGTGTTTTCATCCTTTCTGTGTTACTAGTTTTCTAAATCCGAGTTAACTACTAATTGCTCCTTGGTATAAATCAAGCGTGTGGAACCAGAGTCCCCGGCGTGGGTCCTGTTCTGCATGGTGTGTCACTGTAATGCTTGGAGGAGGTCTTCATTGTTTCACACTCCGCTGTCATTTTCATAGATCACCTTGATGCCAAAAAAGCGGGGGAGCTCTCCACCCTGTTCGACGTGGGCGGGATCTTTGGTGAGTTGGTGAAGATGTGCTCTGCTGCCACAACAACTTCACGAGGTGCATGATCTCTGAGTTGATTCGCTGCTCAGAGGGAACGGGGTTCCCCAAGTCTCGTATCCCCTGAGTGGGCCCAGCCCCAGAGGGTCAGGCCGTCACCTGTGGGTGGGGGGGGCTCTTGTGGTCTCCCCCCTCCTCGGGGCCCTGACTCTGCTCTTAAACAGCTTCCCTCAGAAACAGCAGCCAGCTGGGCTCAGGGCTCATGCCTGTAATCCCAGCCCTGTGGGAGGCCGAGGCAGGAGGATCGCTTGAGCTCTTCTTGTTATGAAAACCAGCCTGGGCAACGTAACAAGACCCCTCTCTACAAAAAAAAAAAAACCCATAGCTGGGCATGGTGGCTCAAGCCTGTGGTTTCCAGCTGCTTGGGAGGCTGGGATGAGAGAACAGCATGAGCCTGGGAGGCTGAGGCTGCAGTGAGTCACAATTGTGGCACTGCACTCCAGCCTGGGTGACAGACTGAGACCCCATCTCAAAACTAAAACAAGAAAAGCAGCAGCGTGCCTCCCAGGCAGGTGACAGACTCTCCACCATAGTCCCTCAATAGGCAGAGGGCCTTCAGGGCTGGCCTCAAACCTGAACCCAAGATGCCTCCAAGCCTCTCACATCTGACGGCAACCAGCTGAGGCCTGTGGGGAGGTCAGGCCCGTGAGAAGGCTGCCTGCCATGATGCTTGGAGAGAGGGGCCTGGGAAAGGCGGAGACCGTTCTCCAGTTTCCTGCAGCTCCACTTCCTCGTAGTGTGCTCATGCCCAGTGACGTCATTGTCTGAAGCCTGCCTCTCCATTGCAGGTGGTGTCCTGGCAGGTGTGATCTCAGACCGACTGGAGAAAAGGGCCTCCACCTGTGGCCTGATGCTGCTGCTCGCTGCCCCCACGGTCAGCCCTGCTGCCTTCTCTGGGCCCCGAGGCCTGCAGACAGTCCCCCACAGTCCTCCCACCAGCCAGTGTCCTCTCCCATCTGCCCGGGCTCCACTTGCCCGACAAGCCCAGCTTCATTCCCACTCATGCCTCCTGTCCCCCAGCCCCTCCCTGGGCACCCTCCCAACATGCGCAGCTGCTGCTGTTTCCGCATGGGCCGTGTGCAGGCTGCTCCTCTCATTGGGGTGCCCCTTGCCCCAGACAAGCTCCTCCCCGACCTCTTAGGCATCGTTGACTCCTCCCGTCCTGATGCATGGTGCATAGTACTTTTCAAGCATTTCACAGCCCCTGGCCTTGGGCGCTGGCAGCCCCTCTGTGCCCCAGTTCCCTCATCTGGAAACGAGGTGTCAGTAGCAGCACCTTGCAGTGGGTTAGAAACAATGCCCCTCATTACTGTTTATCATCGTAACATTAGAGGTGGCAGGCTCGCCGGTGTACCCCGTACCCCTGTGCATGTGCACCTCTCCACTAGGCCTCTCACTAGCCTCAGAACAAGGCCTGGTTTTCAGCCATCTTGGGGTCCCGGACACGGCCCATCACAGACCCTGAAAGAATGCCAAGTGAAGAAGTGCCTGAGTGGGCCCCTTGCTGCCATCGGGGCGGGCAGCCTGAGAACTCGGCAGTCAAACTCTCAAATGAGGAGCTCAAGAAGGCAGCCCGCAGCCTGACCCTGGGGTTGTGGAGGGAGCACCCTGCAGGATTTCCCCAGGTTGCCTGGAGTGCTTGGTGCAAAGCGCTTGTGGCGGGGACGAGGCTCAGTGCCTGAGACGGGAGGGAGTGTGGCCTTCACTCTTTTTTTAGGGGTTTCCACTCGGGTTGGCTGCCCGAGACTCACCCACCGGGCTCTGAGAAGTAGATTTCCGGGGATCTCGTGCTGCTTGCAGCCGGCGTGGCTTTGACCTGTGTCTCGATGTCCACAGCTCTACATCTTCTCCACCGTCAGCAAGATGGGGCTCGAGGCCACCGTCGGTGAGTACGGAGGCCTTCCTGCCCTTCTTTCACACACGTTTTTGTTCACACAACTGGCAAGGTAGTGAAAATATAAAAGTCGACAGGTGCATTGAGCTGGTTTAGCAGGGGCACATGGTGTGGCTAAAATTGTCCAGTGTCCCTCTTTGAGTGAGGCTATCTGGAGAGGCCGGGGTCTCGTCTCCCCAGCGCGAGGCTTGCCAGTCTGTGGGTTTGAGTGTGAGCCTCGTCTCAGCGCTCAGGGAGAAGCCAGATGTGACCTTGAGGGCAGCCCCTCCTGGCGCCTCCGCGGGGCTGGTGAAGCGGCCGCTGTCTGTGACCCATACCCATGATGGTGAGAGCAACCCAGGCTGGCCCTTGGGCCCCGTCAGCTAGCTGGGAACCTGCTGGTACGACCTGAGCAGGGTCCCACCAGGAGCCGGGGCAAGCGGCCCCCCAGCCACCTCCTCCCAGCTGGCTTCGTCAGCTGCCCTTCCGGGAGCGCCCACACGACCTCAGAGGACTACTTTTAACACCCTGCTGGCAGCGCTGTCCAGTGATGTCCCCAGCACTTAGCAGTGTGCTTTCCGTCCTCACGAGCCAGCAGTGGGGATGTGTGTGTCCCCCTGAATGGTATCCAGAAGGCAGCTTGCCCACAAGAGAGGAGGCGGAATGTCCTGTGACCCCTCAGGCCAGAGGCTTCCTCACCTGAGTGTGAGCCCAGATGCTGGTTTGGGAAAGTGAGCCGAGGAGAGTTTAGGAAGTGACCTGGCCAAAGAGAGGGTGGGGTCCTTAGCTGTGGACAGGGAGAGGAAGGCCTTTTTGCTGCAGACGAAGCGGCAGCCAGCTCAGGCCCAGCATCAGGCCTGTGATCACTCCCTCGAAGCGGCAGCTGCTGCCCCAAGGGCCAAAGAGCCTGAGTCTTAGGGAGGGTGTGGTTCTGTTTAGACCCTCAGTAGACAAGTTTAGAGGAAGCTGCTGCTGCTGCACCCCGCCTTGTGCCCCCCAGGCACCCACCTTGGGCTGCTCTGATGTGGGGCTCTCCGGGGGACCCGCTTCCGCTCTCCAACGCTCTGCCTCCCACAGCCATGCTGCTGCTCAGCGGAGCCCTGGTCAGCGGGCCCTACGCGCTCATCACGACCGCAGTCTCCGCCGACCTGGTGAGTACAGCCGGGAGACACCGGCCCTGCGGGCACCCACCTTTCACTGTTCATGACAAGGGTGGTCTCCATTAACATTAGGAAAAGCACATTTTTGGAAGCTCACCTAGGTCATGGTCTCCAGCCTTCCCGCACCTGCCCCCTGCTCATCCTTCTAGAATCATAGGCAGGTTTGCACCAGACTCACCGTTCAGTGCAACCAAAGGCTCCTGGGCACTGTCCTCCTGACTCAGGCACTTTTCACTCCAAGGGGACAGGAGAGGAGTCCTGTCTTAGACGCCCCTGCAGAGAGAGAGGGGCCAGGAAGAGGCGCTGGGGGATTTGGCCCCCCTCATCCAGGTGCCACGCCCTGCCTTGGCCACCTTTGTGTGGGGTGTGTCCTGAAGCTGCCTGGGTGTGCATGGGCGTGCAGATTTGTGTCTGGGCATGGAGAATTCTGGAAGGACCCACAGCAGACCAGTAGCAGTGGTCAGCCTTCATGGTAGAGGCAGAGGGTAGACTTTTACCTAATTTTTGGACTTCAAAAAAAGTAGGTTCTGGGTGACTGTCATGTTGCGCGTGCTTTGCTGTACTTTGTGTACATGTTACACACATACGCAGGCGTGTATATTTTCAAACGCTCGTTCATTTTCATGGTTTTAGGCTTCCAGGCGCTGTTTCCCCGACCTCGTTCCCCTCCTAGTGTCCTCAGTTTGCTTTTCCACAGTTATCTATGTAGCCTTTTCAAAACTGGAGCTCCTGGCGCCTGCTCCCTTGATCTCTCGGGCTCTCCCCTTCTTCCTTCTTCCCCTGGAGTTTGCTGTCGATCAGGTTGGATTTTAGATCCTGCAGAGACATCTGACAGGAGTCCCAGGAAGGCCCTGGCTGTCGAGGAATCCAGCAGACACGTGGACGTGGCTGGGAAGGGGCGCATCACGCATCTTCTTGCCCCTCACGTGGGCTGCTCTGGGGCCTCAGGCAGGAGCAAGACTGTCCTGAACAAATGTTTTTTTTTTATTTGAAGAGAATCCTAAGAGTTCTTGTAACTAGATCCAAGCATTTCTGATGATTTATGACTCTTAAAAACCCTTGAAATTTTAACTCCCCAGGGCAAGCTTGGGGTAGAGTTTAATTTATGGGAAACACCCCACATGTTGAGTTGTTCTGCAGAGCAGTTTCAGTAAATGGTGATACAAAGGCTTACGCTGACTTCTAATGCCTCAGGACAAGCTCCACATCTGCTTTTTTTCTCTTCTAGGGGACTCATAAAAGTCTGAAGGGTAACGCGCACGCCCTCTCCACCGTGACCGCCATCATCGATGGAACTGGCTCTGTAGGTGCGTGGAGAGGTTTAGCGCTGGGAGGTTTGGTGTCTTAGGGGAAATCACATTGGCACATGCACTTGAACAGGTGCCCAGGGTTCCAATGGCATCGATAACATCAAGTGGGCCAGCTTCTCACAATATGAGCAGATGAGCAGGGGACATCAGTGCACGGAGGCAGTTGTGCGTGCCTGGGTGGCTTGAGAGAGACGGGCATGTGACTAGCCACGTGTCTCCACGTTTTCACCCGAGGCAGTGGTTGGCAAACTGTAGCCCATGGGCTAACTCAGGTCCACTGATTATTTATCGCCTTCATCTCAAGAAAGGCAGAATCTTATTATAATTACAGAAAAACCAGTTGGTCCAAAGGCACAGAGTTCTGGGTGTTACCAGCATCCTCAACGGCTTGAAGAGAATTCAGTGGCATAGTCTGGAATTGAAGAAGGTGGCAGAGTAAGCAACCCATCCCACCTGCCTCAGGGAGCTGAGGAACTGGCAAGTGGGAACTGCCCGAGCACCAGGCTCCTCGCCCACGTGCAGCCTGACGCGGCCTTGGCCTTCCCTGAGCCCTTTTGCGGGGAGCACACACCGTGGGCACGGCTGCCAGGGGAAGATCAGGCGCTGCCGCACGGGGTCCTCCCGCAAGGGCACTGAGGGTCCTTCCTACATGTGGGAGGTTCTGGGGGGCTGCCCGGTGTGGCTCTCATAGCTAATCAGGAGGACCTGGGGTGCCAACCTGGCATGTCACCCAACCTGGTGTGTCACTTGCTGCCCAGGGGTCTCAAAGCAGTAAAGTCAAGTGTGTGCTAGACAAAGGTGGCTCAGTAAACGCACGTCAGTCAGAGCCTGGCACTGGAGCCTTCCGACTGGCCGGTGGGGGAAGCTGATGTTGCTCTTGGCTGCCCTTGGCCTCGGTGCCAGCAGGCTGGACACATCACAGCACGTTTCTGGGTGTCCACTGCTGTCCCAGTGAGGCAGAAGTCAAAGCCCTCCCACCTCACGGCTCCCTGCTGCTCCTCCGGAGGCCTGGCTGGCCCCTTTGCGGGGTCTTTGCTCTGGCCACACCCCGTGCCTGGGAAGGTCCCCACAGGTGACCTTGTGCCTCACTTCCTCGTGCCATTGAGTCTTTGCTCAAATATCATTCTCTCAGCGAGACTGCCTGGGAACACCCTTCTGAGAACACAGGGTTCTCAGCCTTCTGAGCCAGCCTCCAGGCCCTCCCTGGGTCTGCCCTTCTCTGGAGCACTTCCCATGTCCGCAGTGGATTCAGTGCACTCTTCGGCTTTATCTCCTGTCTCTGCCACTGGCACGGAAGCCCCAGGAGGATGGGATTTGCTTGGTTCTTTGCTGTATCCCAGTGAAATGAATGGGTTGCTGCCAGACAGCCAGAATCGCAGCCGGAGCCCAGGCGGCTGAGTGCACAGTGAGGAGCCCAGCCGGGCAGGACCCAGGCCCCGCTGCCTGGCCCTGGGTGGTGGGAACCTGAGCTCCAGGCTGCTGCTGCCATTTCCAGGACCAGGGTTGCTACTTCATGTGACCCACCGCCTTGTTCTGAGAAGCAGCGGGCAGGCTGGCCATTGCTCAGAAAGCCACATTTTGGCTTTTGCTGTTCACTAAAGTGAGACCAGACCAGCCTCATCTCTGCCCTTAATGCTGCTTCCTTCATTTCACTGGGTCCAGAGGGGCTGTGAGTGTATGGGGCGGAGGGTGGTGCACTGTCACAAAGACGGCGGCCTGCACACGGGACCCCCTCCAATGTTCTTTCCTGGGCATCTCAGTAGAGAGTGGGGGGACTGCAGGGCTGAGCTCAGTTCTGATTGACGTTGTGACTGCACGGCCTTCTCTTGGCCTTGTGCTGCAGTGGCCCGCGGTCTGTGACTCCATCTGAGTTCCCTGGGAAACCCTGCCCTTAAAGCTAATGTTGCGCTCTGCTGGCAATCCTGACTGCTGCTTGAAAGCAGAGGGTCAGAGTAAAAAAAGAGAGGGAAATCATGAACTAGGTGAAAAAGCACATTTTTCTTCATATTCTTCTCAAAATGAGAGGGAAGCAGAGGCCACTGCCCACCACTGTCCCCCAGCGGGTGGAAGGGGCACGCAGTTCTGAATGGCTTTGGCCCACTCACAAAGACGGGGCCTGCACACGGGACCCCCTCTGGCCTTCCGTTAAGCTGCACCAAGTTCTGACTATATGCGGAGCTGCTGCGCCCACCCTGGTGGCTGCTACGTTACACCACAGGCTCCACCGTCCGTCCCTGCCTACTGCCCGCTCAGGCAGTGGTCACCACGGAAACGGCACTCAGGCCTGCCCACCCCCACCACCACGCCACCGTCATTGTTTCTTCCCTGAGTACGGCCTGGCAAAAGCACAGGCTCAGGTGGGAGGGCCGCCATGTCAGCCCAGTCCTTCCCGAGGGATTGCCCTGCGTGCTTACTTCCTGTCACCGACTCGGGTGGAGGTGAAGCATGCCTGATCATAGATCACCGCTGCGTCTTCCCAAGAGCCGCGTGGTCTGTCGGCAGTGTGGGTGCTCGGTGCCTTCGCCCTGCTTAGCAGAGGCTGCCGTTTCTGTATATTTCATGCAGAGCGGTTAAATAGTGCACTGCATTTTTTCAAGTTGATTTTTATCCATCAAAGTGAAACATAGTGCATGTTAGAAGCCAGACAGTCTTGCAGGCTTATCGTGTTGTCCAGTGGCATCCCCCCCGCCCAGCCCTCTCTCTGTAGAAGCAGCGCTGGGAGCTGCCTCTCTCCGCTGACCTCCGTATCTTCATGTTTCACCTTAACATCATCAGCTGTGCTCCTCTTAAGGCAGAGGGGACCTGGCTCCCTTCCGCCCCCACACTGCCCACCCTCCTCCTCCTCAGTCCCATTGGCCACGCTCCTGCCCTTCACTTTCCAGCCACGAAAGACACTGTAATTATGCACCTTCGATAGATATATTCTTTTTTTTCCCGGGTAAGTAAACCTCCCATCTTTTTCCTTCTGTACATTTCCTTCCCCTCCACCGTGGTCGCCATCCCAGCCCGCTCCACCCCCTTCACGCCATCAGCCTCACTCCGCCCGCTGCACAGCTTTGTCCCAGAGCACCTGTCACCACTATGTTGGGGGTCCCGTCCTCCCTTGCCTGCATCGCAGCCCTCGCAGCCGAGACCCCTGTTTACCACTCCTGTGGGGAACCACCTCCTGGTAGCTCCCTGAGTTAGGGGAGGTGGCCTCTGTGAGCTTGCACGTGCCTGGTGTGTGGATTCTGCTCTCGCCTGAGGCAAACACCTGCTCTGCAGAACCCGCATCTCCCAGCCACCATTGCTGTCGCTGACACCGTCACAGACACTCTGACCACAGCCTCTGCCTTCTTTTTCCTCTTAGAAATCCCCAGGTTCCCTTCTTACCCCTGGAGCCTTTCTTCATTCCGCGTCCCCTGGGCGCCCGGTAGCCCCCTCATTCTGGAAACACATGCTCCTCACTTTAGGGGAATTGGGCCCCTGTTAGTTCTTCGATAAGTTTTCCTACCATTTTTGCATTTGTTTCTTCTTTCTGGAAAACATGTTAGTCAGATGGAGGCTTTTCTGGATTAACCCTTCAGCTTTCCTGTCCTTCCCTTCTGCACGTCTCCCTGTTCTTACACTTTCTCAGGGAATTCGGGACTGTTTTCCACCTTTGTACTGCCCATGTTACTTTTCCTGCCGTACTTTCAATGTTCACTGATGTTTCTCTGCCCTTTTAGTGACTCCTGTTTTATTTCATGTTAGATTGAATCATGTGAAATTGATAACAGGTTTTCAGCTACAGAAATGGGGGTGTCCTGAGGTTCCACTTAACTTTCTGTGGCTGTCTCGGGCTGCTGCGCCCTCTGAGACTGTCCCTCTCCCTGATGCCTTTTCCTCCTCCAGGGTTCCTCCTGGGACTGTCCCTCTCCCTGATGCCTTCTTCTCCTCCAGGGTCCCTCCTGGGACTGTCCCTCTCCCTGACGCCTTCTTCTCCTCCAGGGTTCCTCCTGCCAGTGTGCTTGCTTTCGCGTTGAGGGTTCCCCAGACATAGGGCAGACCTTGGCTGCCCCTTCCTCACTTCACATTGAAGAACGGGCCCTGCCTAGTGGCTTGGAGCCTTTCTGTAGGAGGCAGTGTGCCAGCTGCTGGTCGCCAAGCAGTGTGACCCAACAGGACCTGGAGGAGACTCCCTCAGTGCCCAGGGGAGCGTGGCCCAGCTGCCAGCACCCTTGACGTCGTGTGGGACCACAGGTGGCTGCTTGGTGGATGCTGCCATCTTTCCCAGATCCCCTGTTGCTTGCTGGGTGTGCATGCCTGCCCCGTGCTGGGCCTGGTGTCCCCACAGGTTAAGCTGTGCTCTTGCACGGGGGTCAGGAGGAGTCTCTGGATCAGTGAGGACGAGAAAAGAGACCTGGGATCTGAGGTGTGGCAGAGGGAATGCAGCTAGCAGTTTGTGATAAGAGACCCAACCCGTGTGCCCTTTTTCTCTTGCTGCCTCCCTTCCCTTCCCCCTGCCCTCCTCCTCTCTTGCCATCCCCTCCTCTGTCTCGTGTGCTCAGCTGAGCCTGGCTCTGCTCCAGGTGTCCCTGTGCCGTCTCCTGACGCTCAGTGGAGCAGGGAACACTGGAGGCCGTGTTAGCTGTAAGCCCTTCTACGTCCGTCTTCCAACACCCCGTGCCCTTCGGTTGGAGGATTTATCATTTTTAAAATTCAGTGATGGTACAGTTCATGCTTCTTGGGAGGCGTGGAGATAACACATGAGTAGCTGAGCATGTTTACCTGGAAGTTCCGAGAATTTTAAAAACATTCTATGCAATTGCTCCTGGGATAATGAAATAGTGAGAGCACTTCGTGAGCACTTGGAAACATGAGTGTGTCTAGGGCATGAAAGATGCTGGTTTTCTTCCTGCTCAGAGATTAAAGATCAGTTCATAGCTTGGTGGAAATTCTTCATGCTTTTTACCAAGACCAGCCATCCTACATGTGCATCGGAATTCATTTCAGCCCCTCTTAGTAAAACACACCAGCTGCTGCAAAACACATTCTTCAAACAGCAGTCCTTGGGCATTTAGCGGGATACTTTATTTTGTTTTCGTCATTTAAAATTTCAACATAAATTCAGACGTCGAGAGAGTTGCAGAAATCGTACAAAGAGTTGAGACATTTTAGTACACGTGGTTCATCGTGCACCCCTCATGTATTTTTACACACACATACGTGCACACACACACGTGTAATTTTTCTGAGCCACTAAGAGTAAAATGTACACATGCAGCCCTTTTACTCATAACTATTCACCAAGTACTTCCTAAAAACAAGGAATTCCCTGACAGCCCACGGCGCAATGATCAGACTTGGAAAGTGTGCATGGGAAGAGTGTTAGTGTCTACAGATCTGACTCGAATTTTACCCAGTTACATTTTTTATAGTGTGAGAATATCTAAGATTGTGCATTGAATTCAGATCTCTGTACAGTGTGTTTGAGAAGACAACGGGGGTGTTGGCTGCAGAGAACGAACATTGCAATGTCCACAAGCATGTTCAGGACGGTCTGGGAAGCGGCTGTGCAGCTTCACCCTCCCAGTACTGCGCAGTGCCGCTGGGCGTCTTGTCTGAAGTGCTGGGGGCCGGAGTGGTTTGGTGGTGTTTGTTTTTTCAGACTGTGGAGTATGTGCATTATACTGGGTGAGCATCTCAAATCCCAGTTCTGAACTGTCCCAGTGAGCATTTCCTTTGAATGTCAGCGCTCAGAAACTTAAGATTTCCAGAGCATTTTGGATGTCAGGTTTTCAGATTTGGAAGGCTCAGCCTATGCTAGGCCTTTTGCCTCCTCCCAGCCTGAATGGTCAGGTTGAGGTAGTGTCATTTCGTACGGTTTCCTCTCGTTGTGAGTGAGCTGTTGAGCCCATTCTGTGTGGCTGTTAGTCATGTGCTGGGACGTCTCTAACTAGTACCGTGTGTGCATTTGCCTGGTTCCAGGAGCAGCCCTGGGCCCCCTGCTGGCCGGGCTCATCTCCCCGTCCGGCTGGAGCAATGTGTTTTACATGCTGATGTTCGCCGACACCTGTGCCTTACTGGTAAGTCCTCGTCTTTTTCATCCAAGCCACCTTCAGTGCATCTCTGCGATGTGGCCAAACACTGGTGGAACTTTCTCCCGTGCATTGCTGAGTTAGCAGAGGTTTGGTTCTCCCCAACTTTCCTAAGTATCCGTGGTCTAAAGCCCCTTTTGTCTCTGGTTAAGAAAAGTCAGAACCAAAATCAGGACAGCCTCTTGCTCTGCAGCCTTGGGCAGAATGGCACAAAGGCCAGGAGCATGGAGTTCCGTGACTTTGGATCCTGTCTGTCACCTGTCATGTGTGTGACTCGGGCAGGTTACGTAACCTCTGCTCCACAGCTTCCATGGCTTCAAAATGGGCGTGATAATGGCACCCAGCGACAAGACTGTTGTCAGAATTAGAGCAGATGATACACAGGGCCCAGCTTCCCAATGGTCATCAGTGTCCTGGTGTCCCTCTTGCAGCCATGCTGTCACACGGGGGGAGCAGCCCCAGCTTCTTCCACCTGAAGGGATGGGAGAGAATAAAGGAGCACAGAGGCTGCCAGTGCAGACAACAAGCCACCGTCTGGCTTCCGCCACCTTTCCCCTGGGCTCCTGCTTCCTGTCCCCTCCTGTGTTGAGAAAGTTTGAGGTTTTCTTCTGGGTAGGGAAGACCAGTGATGATGTCACAGTCACGTAGATGTGCACCTGTGAGAGGCGCATATGCTTATCTTCACAAGTCATCTGGCACGCAGTCCTCAGACCCACAGCTGTGTCTCTCCTCTCGCTCCACCAGGCAAGACCTTAGGCTGATACCAATAAAAATGAGTTGAAAATTGTAGAAATATCAACTCACTCAATTAAATGGAAGTCTTATATTTTAATTCCAGGAAATTCTAAAACCCAATTTCCCTACCACATACAAAATCAAATACCAGCTCTCAACCTATGAACTTATTAGGTTTAAATGGCTGTTCTTTGGATTATTTGTGGGGGTTTAATGCCAGAGGTTTCTACTGGAGCCTCCAAATGTAGTTCCACTAGTTAGCAGTAAAATTCCCGTCATGACAACTGTTCAGAGAATCTGAAACACCTTCTTCAGAAATACCCAGTAATATATATTGAAAATTGTTTTGAGGCACAGCCAAACTCATAAGAAAGTAAAGGAATTCCCCAAGAGCCCAAATTGTAAAGGCAACATAAATATACAAGCTCATGACAGAGCTGTCCAGGAGTGATGCCAGTCTCAGGAATCAAGGGGTTGGGGTGGCTGTGCCCACACAGGGTAAGAGACAAGGTGTTAGGCTGGCACAAGATGAGGAGTTGGAACTGGAGACTTCCTCATGGAGCCAGGACCTGGAAGGGCCATGCTTGCAGCGAAAGAGTGTACTAGATGACATCCGCACACTGGCACAGGAAGACAATGGGAATCGACCCATCTTAGCCAGATCCGGGGGAAAAAATCTCCCCTGAGAATTTTTAACCATAGACCTGCCCACAGTCAGCCTTGATCTTTGAGCTTATATAAATATATTTAAAATGAACAAAGTTGGTCTGTAGGCAGTGATATACATGGTTCTTATGCAGAAGCAAACAGGGACAAGTCTCAACCCTGCCACACAGGAATTCTGTAGCTACCACCCTACTAAAGATGAGCTTACAATCCAAAGTTATGAAACATAAGGAAGCAATCCACTTTGAATGACAGTAACAGACATAAAAATGGTGGAATTGGACTCCCCAAAACTGCAGATAAAAGATTTATATAAACTGAAAATAAATATATACAATGTGACCGATGACATAAGAAAAGGAACTGACCTCATGAAAAGAAGAATAGGACACTCAAAAAGACAGAACAGGCTTGAAAAACCAAACAGAAGTTATAGAAATGAAAACTGTGATCTGTAGCCTGGAAAAAACTCAATGGATGGGTTAGAAAACCACATTAGATACAGCCGAAGAGAAGATTACTGAAGTGAAATATAGATATGAAGAAATTATGCAGAATTCAGCACAAAAAGAGAGATGGAAAATATTAAAGAGAAATTAAATATCAAATGGAAGACCAAATGAGATGGCCTAATATCTGAAAGGAATTTCAAGAGAAAGATAATCCACTAGAGTCGAAGCAATCTTTTAAGAGAAAATAGCTGAGAATTTTCCATATACATGAAAGACAAACATTCTTAGATTCAGGAATCAAACTGCTTAGGATTGTGTAGCTGGATAAATTTATCTGTACCTAGACAAAGAATAAGGGTGAAGTGAAAATGTTTTTAACCAAAGGTGCTCCCAGCAAAAATTGCTAAACAATGTATTTAAACATGGAAGGGACCAGGCCCGGTGGCTCTTGCCTGTAATCCTAGCACTTTGGAAGGCCAAAGCGGGTGGATCACCTGAGGTCAGGCGTTCAAGAGCAGCCTGGCCAACATGGTGAAAACTCATCTCTACTAAAAATACAAACAATTGGCCGGGCATGGTGGCAAGTGCCTGTAATCCCAGCTACTTGGGAGGCTGAGGCAGGAGAACAGCTTGAACCCGGGAGGCGGAGGAAGTTGCAGTGAGCCGAGATAGTGCCATAGCACTCCAGTCTGGGCAACAAGAGCAACAAAAAAACAAAAAAGGAAGATAGATCCAGGAGGAGAGTCTGAGATGCAAGGAGAGAGGCAAACAGAAAAAGTGCTCTTCCTAAGGGTGAATCTAAATGAGTACTGCCCATGTAAACTAGGGGCCAGCCAGCTGTGGCCTATTTTCGTATGATTCTCCAACTGGGAATGGTTCATATTTTTAAAGATTTCTTTAAAAAATCAACAAAAGAATGTGCAACAGAGACCATATGGCTGCAAAGCCTGAAATATTTACTGTCTAGACCTTTACAGAAAAAGCTTTCTGACTCTTAAAACAACAGCAATAATGACTAATTTGGGCGATATAAAAAAGAACTGGCATACTGGGTAACTAAAATGTAAGGTACAAGTGGGACAGAGTCCAGCACATTGCAGTTCTTACATCAGCAAGTCAATAGCAGTAGAGTGTGTGACCTTCAAGGCAAGAGAGGGGAATGAAGACTTCATCCAAGAGAACTAGGGTCAGGCGAAGCCTAGAAAAACAGGGTAAATATAGATATACACAGCGACATGGATGAACGTTATTCCAGCATACCAGCAACACGGTAACTGGAAGTGGACTAAGCTCATCAGGAGCAGACATTGTCAGGTTGCTTTTAAAAATACAGGCACTGGTTATTTACAAGAAACACACCTGATACAATGGAAGAATTCTGAAAAGACGAAAGCAAAGGACGGGAAACTACACGACAGGTGAATAATAACCAGAGGAAGCTGGATTCGCTGCACTGGAAGAGAGAGACCTAACAGCACTGGGGTGAAGCACTGGGGCGACGGGGCTTGTCTCAGGGGAGAAGGAACAGCACCGGATGTGCAGCCGGCCCACGAGCTCGCACTGGGCTTTTCAAACCTAGGAACTAGATATACCTTTTTCTCTTCCCTGATCAACATGATTTTTGGTATCGTTTCTCCAAAATAGACAAGTGCCTCCTCCCAAGTCTGGGGCTGAGAACCTCTGTGATCTGAGCAGGTGTCCTGGGGGCTGGAGGGCACCATGCTTCCTGCCTCGTCACGCACACTGATGGCCGGCTGTGGGCCTGCAGGACCGCCTCGGCACACGGTGGAAGGCCTCAGGTCTGCAGTGCGTGTCGCCTGGGCTCCTGGAGTTGGCAGGGCCCCTCCTTGTTGGTCATCCTTGCACGCGTGAGCCAAGCACTTGGGCATGTTTTGAAATCGGATCTCTGTTCTTCAGAACTGTTACGCTGACAGTTCACCCCACACCACAGTAACACTTGCCACTGAATTCTTCACCTTTTTCTCTTAGTCATAGGCCTCTTCAGGCTGGCGCTGTTCACACATCGCACTTGGTAGCATGTAGATGTGGGTAAGGTCCCGGCTGAAACACAGCAATCCTGTGCCAGGAGCTGGAGCTAGAGGTTCAGATTCACGCAGATGGATTTATTTAACAAGAATCTTACTGTTGTTGTTAGCACCTGGCTGTGTTTCCACAACCTTTACCACCTAATTGTCGCAAACACCATTCACGCTACAAGCGACTGGGTCCATCTTACCTGTAGGAGGGGGCCCTGCTCTCTCCAGCTGGAACTCACCTCATACAAGGGACTGCTAAGTTCCTACTTGAACCAGAAGCACCTAAGAAAATACAAGAGTTTCTGCCTTCTAGCGCTCTGGCCTGAGGCTTGTGGGTGGAGCTGTGTGTGTGGTTTTAAGGAGCCCCTGGAGACCCTCCTCCAGTACCCCCTCCCCGCCTCCCCTGGCCCAGTGATCCACCCTGGGTCTGAGGGCATCTGCTGCTCTCTGAGAGCCCTCCTGTGGGCTGATGCCACACTTGGGGAAGATTGGAACCACACTGGAAAATGCAAATGCACTAGTGAAATCAGGGGTAGCGCAATCATTTGTCTGGATATGCAAGCTGGCGTTGAGCCCTCTAACATGTGAAGGGCGATGAGCTAAAGCTCTGGGTCAGGGGAATGCCGAGGCTGAGGTGTGATGGTGGTGGAAAGCCCTGGGCCCCACCGGGCCTGGCCTCCGAGGGGCTGCCAGTGGCATGCAGCTGTCCTGTGGCAGCCTCTGCAGACCCCAGGGCTGGTGTCGGAGGAGATGTGCGCCTGACTTTAGAGTCACCCGAGAGGCTCGCAGGCCACCAGCATGGTGGGCCTCTTGTGTTTATTTTCTTTTTCCCACTGTGGTCATTTTGTGATTGGACTCATTTTATTCTAAACATGCCTTGAACCCAGAAATAGTTCAGGCTGCGTCTTTCCCGAAAGCCTTGTTTTCAGGGCGCGTCCTGGCTCTTCGTGGGTCCTCATCAGACAGCCCTGCCCACAGGCGCCAAGACCTGGGGCTGGGCATGCTCACTCCCTGCTCTTGCAGGGAGGCATCCCCAGGGAAGGTGCTGCAGGGAGAGAGCCACCCGCCCAGGCCTCGCAGCTGGGCCCTCACGGTGACCACAGGCAGGTCCTCACGGTGACCACCGGTGCTGCTTCAGCGCCAGTGACAGGTGGTCTCGCCTTTGTTTCGGTGCAGTTCCTGATCCGCCTAATTCACAAGGAACTGAGCTGCCCGGGGTCAGCGACAGGGGACCAAGTTCCGTAAGTCCCACTTGGGCCCTGTCCCCGGCTCCAGGGTGCCTTCTGTCCTATCTCCCTTCCACACCTGGCTTTTCCCAAAAGAAGGAAAAGGAAACTCACTCACGGCTTACCTTTTCATGGCTCGCCGCCTTCACCCTCGCTTGTCCCTCTCTAATAAATACCTCTGGTGTGGGTTGGCGGTAATCTCTCAAAACCCGAGCAGAAATGTGAGGGACCTGCGTCTTTGGCATTCTGTGTGAGCGGCAGCCCCTGAGCTTTCCTTGCCTTCCTGCTCGCCCCCTCCTCCCTCCCTCCCTCCCTCCCTCCTCGCTCCTTCCTGGCCCTGGGAGGCTGTGGGAGTGGTACAAGGGTTTATCCAGCGTCCATAACCCTGTAGGAGGGGAGTCCCCACTGGACCGGAGGGCAACTGGCTCCCCATGGGGTTTGCATGTGGTGTGTGAAGTTTAGCATCTCTTGCTGAGCCACTGCCGGCTATTAGAGCAGCTGTTCTTTCATCCTTTCTTTCAGATTTAAGGAACAGTGACCCCCTAGTCCTAGGGAGGGGTCTGGGCCTACCCTTCACAACTGCCTTTCAAGGACAGTTCAGATAAAGGGCCCCGCACAGAAACAGTGACTTCCCCTTGCCTTTTGCACACGCACCTGGAAAAGACACAGAAGCCAACCTGAGAACTCCTGGTGCTATTTTCAACGAGACGTAGAGCTGAACAGCAGTGAGAACAGTCTGCGGGAGCTGCCGCCTGAGCCAAGCCAGAGAACCGAAGACCCGGCCGGCCCTGGCCTCGAAGGCGCGTGCCCATGCAGCCACCCAAATGCGCACGTGACAGCAAGGCCAGACGGGTGTGGGGTACACAGGTAGCCACGACCCTCTCAGGCACTGCAGCCACGGAACATCAGAGCGAGTGAGGGCCATGCGGGCCGTGGCTTCAGAGAACCTGAATGTGCTGGGTGGAAAAACAGGACCCCGGAGCCCACCAGACAGCGCCGACGAGCAGAGGAGCTCAGAGAGCCAGTGCCACACGACGGCAGGAAGGGTGACAGCCTTGGTCGGAAACCAAGACAGAGCTCAGGCCTGCCACGTCACCCCAGAGGCTTTTCCAGCAGTCCCGATATTCCGTACTGGCCTCAAAACTAACTTTGGAGAAGCCAAGGGCGAGGAGGCAGGAAACCCCTCCGGCTGGAGGCACCCAGGCACGCCAGCCACAGAGCACCCCGAAGTCACCGTCCTCCCAGTCCCTGGCATTCCCACTGCCCTCCAGGGCCACCACACTGCTTCAGCTGGGGGCACGGGGGCTCGGCAGAGGCGTGGGAAGCGGCCTCCCCGCCGGCACTGGGATTGGCTGGTCCAAGCCCAGAATATTCACTCACACGCACCTGGGGCTGCTTTGAATACAGAGCAGCCGGGGGGTTATTTATTTAAAATGTGGATTGTGCTATATGACGTTTAAGAAACATAAATGGCGTTTTGTTATTTATTAAGACAACCTCCGATTGTTCTCTGGCTGTTTTTTTTCAGTTGTGTTTAGCAAAATACTATCTGCCCTTTGAAATAAAAAGTTTAAAAAAAAAACTCAGAACACTCAGAGCATGTTGGTTATTCCTGCTCACATTTCCATTACACTAAAAAAGGAAACTTCCCAATAGCGTCGTGTGTTCTGGGTTTTCTCGGGTTTGGACACATTCAGAATCTTGCAGCTGAGAACAGACCATTTCCAGCAGAAAAGGGGCCTCCCTCTCAGGCCCTTGTTTGCATAGAAGGCCAAGCCGAGGCCCTGGTAAACAGCCATCTGGATACTTTATAAATCACGCCGTTTAAAGACTATCCCGAGATTTGTCGTTGACTAGGAGATGTGACACACGGTGGCGGTGGTAACTGCACGGTGGGGTCCAGGCTTTCACGCTTCCTTCTCGGGAACACTTACCATCCCGATGTGCGTGGTGCGCGTTTTCTCCACAATGGCGTGCTGCCGAAGTTCACGTGGGGACCCCTCCCAGCAGCAGTGCCAAGGTCAGACACAGCACCCGGGCATCCCACGGTTCTGAGGCGCCTCCTGCTGAGCTCTGCAGAGAAGCCCACAGGAGCAATAGGTCTGGCTGTGGGGACATCTGCATGCCAGCCGCCCCACCAGATTGCAGATTGGCTCGCTCTCTTTTTAATGGGAAGTTATTTATACATGTAAAAATTTTCTGCTTAAAAAGAAATTTCCCAAAACACCAAGTGGATGGAGTGTGTTTCTCACACACAGGCACACTCAGCTTGCGCTGGTCCGTCCCGCCCCTCCACCGAGTGCTTCTCCCGCCCGGGCCCATGCTCCTGGGAGCCTCCCCCTTCCCCTCTCTCCTTGACCTGGCTCCAAGCACCAGGCCAGCCCTCTCCCGCTGGTGGCCCCAGCTGCCTCGAGCTCCTGCCGGCTACCATCCCTAAAGACTGGCACCAAGCGTGCAGCGCTGGCATCCGTGGGCTGAACAAGGGAGGGCCGACGCAGATGGCACAGTGTCATTGCAGAATGCACAGAGGGCTTTCTCCATAAACAAAATTCTTTTCCTTCACTGGCCCTGCCTCTCCAGAGCTGTCCCCTCTGAGGTGTCATCTAGTCAGAGGCCCAGGGCTGGTGGGCCAGAGTGGACCCTCCTCACCCCATAGCCACCAGCCAGCGTTGAGCACAGCAGCCTGGAGGTGGCAATAGCTGTTTTCCCCTAACTCAGTGAACTAAGGACTACATCTCCCACAGCTCACAAAGGAAGAGCAGTTTCTCATTTCTGAACCCTCTAAGCTAAACCCTGAGAATGCCTTTTGAAATGGAGAGTCGATCCTTTTTGAAAATGAAGAGTATACACACAGCTATTTTTTAAAGCAACTGAGTGGAAATTTACCTTGATTCAGGAATGGAAGATTTCCTCATGACTTTTAAGGAAAAAGGTGTATGATTTCAGTATGGAAATACCCCCTCATGTGAGCATAGCTGAGATTTCCATCTGCAAACAGCCAGCTCTGAGACACACACACTTGCCGTCATGGAAACGCGGCTCTGCCTGTCACTCACGTGTGCACCTAGTGTATGTCACTAGACCCTCCATTCATGTTGACAAAAAAATGTAAAATGACGGAAACACAAGCTGTGACAGGGCCAGCGAGAGAGCTCAAGGTGGGACTCCAGCTTTCCAGCCTGTCTGTGTGTAGGAAGAACTACTCTTGGAAGCTCGCCTCAGTGAATGCACCTCAGGGTCCCAGAGCTGCCGGGAGCACAGGTGTCTGGTGGCTCCTGTACTGTGTGTCTCAGTCAGACCAGGAGGGACCAAAGCCAGCCTTCCCATCACCAGCTTGTAAAACCCAAGAAATCTAAATTGCTTGATAAACTATGAACTGAAAAAATATGAGCCCTGATTTTTAAATTATTTCATTCAACAGCCATAAAACCACTAAATGGCCCTGGGACTTTGCAAATGCTCGCTCCCATCTCCACTCAGCAGAGCACCGTGGGGCCGGGTAAGAAGCAGGCTTGAGGGCACTGCATTCTTTGCAGGCTGTGCCCACAAGGCAGCTGGGCTGTCCCCCACGGAACTCTGACACGCCAGGCCACCTCCCTTCCCACAGCCTCGTACTGACCCACAGCCTCTGCACAGGACACCTCAGGTCCCTGGGGGGCAGTGGAAGGGCTGTAGCACCATCTGTCGAGGCAGGGGCCTGTGCCAGCCCCACCAGAGACACCATGGGCAGTAGGCAGGTCACTTCCCAGGGTGGGGAGGGAAGCACAACCTAGGCCGGTCCCGGGGAGGTGGTGGAGTCAGAATGACATAAAAGCTGAGGTTCCAGTACTCCAGTGCTGGTTCCATCGTCCCCTGGACTTTCCTTGCAAACCACAGATGCAGAGAGCACTTCTCAGAATCTCCACACAGTGACGATGGAGCACTCAACCCACATGACCCTTTGGGGCATAGGCACTGTGTGACTGCACTGGCCATGTGCCCATGAGGCCTGCCCTGTGGCCCTGCAGAATGACAACTCATTGGGATGGAAGCAGGAACCGAAGGAGTCCTGGCTGAGAGAGCCCAGGGCCTGAGTCGGGAGGAGCAACGGTCCATCTGGGACCCGGTGGTGCCCTCACTGAGTTTGGGGTGACTGCCACCACCTGGGCTTCCCTGTCCCATGTGTTCCAACAGGCCCTGCCCCTGAGAACAGATCCAAAGGCCCCTGAAGGACAAAGCCCTGAGCCAGTTGCTCATTCTGAAGCCAGCTCTTGTTGCTGGCCCCTTCCCAAGAGGGCCTGTGAGCTCCAGACGTGGGGACGGTGTGGGGCGTGGGCCACCCATAGTGGTGGCCAAGGGCAGCCTGTTCCCCACCACACCCCGGGGAGCTGGAATTTAACACCAGCTGCTGAACACAGGCAGTGTATTTCTGGCACCTCGGGCAGGACGCCAGGGCCTGACCCTCCTAGGAGAGTCCATCACTGCTGAGCCAGTCACAGGCCGCCCTGAAGCATTGTCCCTGGGCAGCAAGTGGGACACAGGGGCACAGCAGGCCACATCCCAGGCGGCTGAGAAAGTCCACGGAGGCTCAGGAGGCCGAGGCGGAAGAATCGCTTGAACCTGGGAGGTGGAGGTTGCAGTGAGCCGAGATTGCGCCACTGCACTCCAGCCTGGGCAACAGAGTGCAACTCTGTCTCAAAAAGAAAAAAAAAGGCCACGGAGGGTAAGGGCACCGCACACACCATTGCCAGAGACAGTCGGGGGCGGCGCCCTGGACTGCTGGGACTGACAGTGGGGGAAGGGTGGAAGG